TCACAAGTACACTGGATGACAGTGACTGTACGACCACACAGCGCGAGCAGACGATTGAGAAGGCGACGTGCAAGCTGCCATCTTGTTGTGTTTCGCTGATTGACGTCATCGCGACTAGCCAAACTGCTGTGTGAAGTCAACAGGATTAGTACTGTAGACTGATGTCGAGTTTGTGTTGATTACGGTGGGTGTGCCGCTAGAGAATTAACTTTGATATCAAACCAAAAAAATGTCAGCATTTGCTGAGCGTCACATCTGCTCAAAGCCGTCTCTCTATACAGAAGATTTTTCTGGCGCAGTGAACTTGACAACGAAAAAAGATGTCAGCACCCCTTCGAGAGTAACAAGGCCCCGACTGATAACGTGATTTGTCAATCCTTGGTTCGTGAAAAAAGTTACGCCTTTTTTTTTTTTTAATGACGTTGGTAAAGTGCAAATGACGATGCTGCTGTAAGCAGCATAGTCATTTTAAATGTGCTAGTGCTCCGGGAAGGAAAGAAGGAAGGAAAATAGAGGGAAAAGAACGGCAGGGAGGTTAACCAGCCTATAGGCAGCCGGTTTGCTACTCTGCGCATGGGAGAGGGGGGGGAGATGAAAATAGAGAGCAGAGAGGGAAGAGAGAAACACGGCATATTCAGCAGCACACGCGCGCACACTCATAGTCCAGTCTTGTCTTTCGCGGTGTGTGACATTGCTGTTAGAGTCGCTTGTTCAAGTCCGTGTCGCGTAGGAATTTCAACAGAGCTTTCGTCGCCTTCTGTTGCAATGTCTTCGCTCGGGCACTTGACAGAATAGTGTACACAGACATTTGGCTGTTGTCGATGCGCGCAAAAGCGGACGCCAGTGACTGTCTCTGGATTTCATACAACGGACAGTCACACAGGATGTGGTGTAGCGTCTCTTCGCAATGACAGGCATCGCAGAGAGCGTTGTCGGCCATTCCTATGACAAAGGAATAAGATTTTGTAAATGCCACTCCTAGCTATAAGAGAAGAAGAAGGGTGGCTTCTCTTCGGTCGAGTCCAGTGGGCATGCGGAGAGCCATCAAAGAGGACAGGTGGTTTTGACGATTTGTATCGATGCTTGGTGGGCACCATAGTGAAAACGTGATTTCACGCGCAAGTCGTCGAAGATTACTGGCAGCATCGGTCCGCGAAAGTGGTATGGCTTCTTCTCGTGTTCCTTCAAGGGCTGCCCGCGCGGTAGTATCGGGATGTTCGTTCCCTATGATGCCGCAGTGACTTGGCAGCCACTGAAGCGTCACATGATGCCCCTTCTTGTGTGAAGTGTGGAGAAGGCATCGGATTTCGAAAACAAGCTGTTCGTATGGCCCGCGACGCAGTGCTGAGAGCACAGATTGTAGGGCAGCCCTTGAGTCGCTGAAAGTCGACCATTGTTGCGGTGGTTCCCGATTGACCACACAAAGTGCAGCGTGCAAAGCAGCTAGTTCCGCTGCTGTAGATGCCGTGGAGTGGTCAGTCCTAAAGCTGATGGTAACACCTCTTGCTGGGACAACTACTGCCCCTGACGAACACTGGCGGTTCGTGGAACCATCGGTGTATACGTGTATGCTGTCTGAATATTTCTCGTGCAAAAGAAGAAGAGACAGTTGTTTCAGCACGGGCGACGAAAGCTCAGATTTCCTCCGGATCCCTGGTACACAAAGATGCACTGTGGGTGGAATAAGACACCAAGGCGGTATGGATGGTTTAGATGCAGGAGTGAAGCCCGAGGGAAGTTTATAGTTGTATTTCACAATCATTTTGGCGAACGATGCTTGGTGCCTCTCTGAAGGCAACACTGCAAGGTGATGACAGGGAGCACGTGCGAAGTGTCTGATGTGCGTTCTCAGGACTTCTACAACAATGTGTGTTTGTATCGGATAGTCACCAGCAATTGCAAATTGTTACTTCCGTTGACGTACATCTGGGCAGACCTAGGCACACTCTCAGCGCTTGGGCTTGTACTGCCTGTAAAACACGAACATTGGTCTTGCAGGTATTGCTAAGCACGGGCAAGCTATATCTGAGGAAACCGAGAAACAGGGCCCTGTAGAGCTCCATCGTTGCGTCTACTGACATCCCCTACGTCTTTCCTGCCAGGAACTTGAACAGTTGGGAAATAGCGGTCAGGCTCCGGGAAGTCCCTTAGCTGAAAGGGGCGGGAGACGGTGTCCTAGGCACCTCCCTCCTTGAGATTTGTGAAGGGGCGTTCTACCCGAAGTAATTTCTAAAATAGTCATTATCGTGTTATCATTATTCCATAAGTACGTGTACCAGCTGGACCGGCATGCTTTGGGCCTGCATACATCACAACACACACATCTCGTAGAATGTATAATAAAGTTTCGCGCGACTTTACAGTTACACTGACGCCTTCAACTTTTACGCACTTCCGCGAGCCATACGCCTATGGGACAGCTTACCTGATGATATAGTCGCAGAAACTAACTCGGAAAAATTCAGGCAATCTCTTAACGTGCATATCTCCGGCAGACCACGTTCTTCCTAACTTATCGAATCAGTGCTTTTGTTTAGAAAAAGTGGGTAACGATTTGGAGTGCTAGATACTCTACTATGGGGGAGCATAAAGCCGTCTCGTAGGCCGATTACAATGGCCCTTCACCTTTTTGCTAGGGTGCTTGCGCAGTATCATATGCAATGGCTTACATGTTGTAGTCCTCCTCTGTTCTATGTATCACTTGTATGCTTGTCGAAATTTATCATGGTTTATATATACAACACGTTGCATTTCACTTTTTAATGTTACCTTTTCTGCTAGTTCTTGTAACATTCACCTTTTATAAAATCTTGATTGTACTAATTTCATGTTTAACATGCTCTGTTCTTGCATATCATATTTTGCTTCTTCATGAGAATAGGGTTTTACACCTTTGGTGTATAAAATTTCTGTAAATTCCCCCCTTACTCAGTGCCCATGTGGCCATGTAAGGTATTTGGAATAAATAAATTAAGTAGTGATGGAGTTCAGCAAAACAAAGAGGGCTGCCCAGGCTCCGGTACACCTTTAAGATTGGCCTCACCATGGTGAAGCTGCCTTGATTTTTTTGAGAATTTTATTAACACCTTTCCCTAACAGGTTACAAACGTCTCCACACAACTAACTTGGCAAGAATAAAAAAAAAGTGGCCACTTGAAAGAAAATATAGTTAGCGCTTCCTTAACTGCGTATGTTTTGTGCCGTAGGAAGAGTCATGCTGTTCATCAAAAACAGACTGTCGGCCAGGGCCATCAGCGGCGTACTCCTGATGACGTGTCTGTGTCTCGGCTGGGTCATCATTTTCGGGTATTCGTGCCGCACGTTCCGCTACGAGGTGCGGATCTCTAACAGCGAGGATTCGCCATTGGTGGCCTTTGGGCTGTTGAGCAACTCGCCGCGAGGCCTGTGAGTGGAGCACTTTTGAGTTCTCGGTAAACAAGGATTCATTTGTTTTATTTAAAACGCTGAAAGGGGGTTTTTAAATGATGTCAATGTTCAAAGGAGCTGAAAAGTACCAATGAACGTATAATAGCGTAGATGGGATAAAGGGGGGATGCCTCCTTCCAACCTCGCTTTCTTTAAACTGTGTTGTGCTGCTAAGTCCTTAGTGATAGGCTGTGTGGAAAAGGGCGTGGTGGTGGGGGGGGGGGGGGCGCTACATTGAAAATTTGACCACTTCGCCATCCTTGATATGGAACCTTCCGCACTCGTATTTTAGGCAACCTATGTTGATGGCGGTCTCTTTATTCTGCTCGCTGAGACAGAGTTCGCAAAAAAATTACTATGAACGAATGCAGAATGAACCTGGAAAAAAAAATTCCTAGAGAGTAAAATTGACAGAACTCAGACTTCAGGGATCTTTAATGTGATCAGTAGTCGAATGTTCCATGGCGTTCATTTCTTTCGAGGGCTCATTCTGTGAGTACTTCTTGTACACCTTTTTGAGCTTCACAGTGTGCAATGTTGGTAACAAAAAAAAAAAAAACGAGGCTCTTCTGCTACTACTCCTGGCTGAAGTCAACCGTAACAATGCAGGCTGTTGCTTTTAACTTGAGGGTTCCACTTGCCCTCAAATGTTGCTGTCACAAGTGCTAAAACGAAATATGCCACTCAGAAAGATCGTAAATGGTTCTGTGAAAGTGGAGGCGTCACTATATTTGAATTAAAATCCTTCAGCTGGAAGGGGGAATAAGCAGAGAGCAGAGGACTTATTACTATTCATCTAGTATAAATAAAAAGTGTAAGAGCATCATTCAACAGTGATTTCAAGGAAATTTCCATAACAGTTTTTTTTTTCTTTAGTGAACTTGCTATTCATGGTGTGAAGAAACGTAGTACGTTCACTGTTTACCTTTTCCACTGATGCGCAAAAGTTACATAGCACGTCTATAAAGCCACTTACAGAAGTGAAGCATGGCGGATGTCAACAAAGCCCATTGGTATTCTTAAAGGGGATCTACATATCTAATTAAAAATGGCTATATTTGGTGTCATCAGATTACCTAGTTGGTGGCTGATACAACTTGCTAGTATACTCAGAGTATGATCATTTAGTTATTAGCCTCATGGTGGAATGGTGTTGGTCACATGACAAGGTTGCACAGTCTAAGCTGCTGATGATCAACACGATAGTTAACGTCACAAACTAAGTACTCAGCACCAGTCCTGCCAAAAATGGGCTCAATATTAGTGCTGTAATATATATGTTGAGCAGGTGTCATATCTATTGAGTTACCAATGATAATTAGCATTAATTAGAAGAAATGCGTAAATTAAATACAAGAATTTGTATGGGTGTCAGGCGGGGTTAGGCAACACGTACCCGCTGTCATACCCGTTGTGTCAGGCGGGTACGTGTTGCACCGTGGTTGCTGAAGTTTCTGACATGCAGTTCTAATGGAAGCTTAAACCTTCATTACCGGTGCCAAAAATGGTACTCGTATAGCCAAGAAACTTTAAAAAATGATTATAGTTTAAACTTTACCTGCTACTAATTGCAATGCGGTTTCTCTACGGCCCTTCTTTTACATTTCAGCTCGACGGGAGAACCCTTTGATAAGAGACATCTGGTCACACAGTCCTCCCTAGATGGAGGGACTTTGGACCCTACAATGCTGAGGGGTGAGGCAGTGCCGTACTGTTCTGATTGCGGGTTGTTCCGACATAGCTTTCTTCTTATACAATTCATGTTAAAAAGTACAAAGGCAGTGAATGGTGCATATACATTTGAAGAGTAGCGTTCACTTCGACATGCTTGTAAAAGCAATGGGAAAACGTGCTCTATTTTTTAGATGTGCATCCAATCGTGAAAAGAGCAAAAGAGAAGACGCTGGCTCGTACAACTATGTACTAAATGCTTTTTCAGTGCCAGTTCTTACCTGTTGTGGCAGTGCATGCAAGCGAAGGACGCCGGACATCTATATATATTAAATGGTGTTTGTCTGTTTATTAAGAAAGCAGTGACCCTTATATGTCGTCGGATAAATATTCTGCGAGTGCATAAACTTGCGGAATATTTCTGCGTCATAGATATTCACCTGCCCGTACATATATGTCAGTGCTTTTCAAAGAAGCTTTCTGCTGGTAGCATGTTCTTGACCTTCCCTTTCTAAGTCCCTGCTTAAGTTACGCGATCGTGTTTCAAGCACAACGAATCACCAGCTCATCCAGTAAGCCATTTTTACAACTGTAGTCACAAGGTGCAGAACTTAGAACAGAGACTTCTCTCAACAGGTGAAGATGACATTCACGTCGAGCGACTGGCCAGGTTGGAGGCCACCATCAAAGGGATGCGCGAATTCCTGGTGAGACACATGCAAGTGTCTTCTGGTCCTGCAGACAACACCCGAGCCGCAGCGACCCTTGTCAAGGCCCGTGATTACCTGAGGTAGGCTTTGTCATGGCTGTTTGACACGTTCATAGTGACAGGCACGGGTAATTAGTTTTTTTGTATTGTGCCCAAGTTAATAACTCTCGTGATTTTACGTTCCGAAATCACTACGTAATGAGAAACGCTGTAAAAGAGGGTGCCCCAATTTCGGACTTCTGGTGCTTCTGAAAGTGCACCTGAACATAAACACACTAGCCTTTAGCGTTTTGCCTCTATTGAAATGTGGCCGCCGTGGCACGGACTTGATCCCGGGTTCATTGAGTAAGCACTCGAAAATATGCGTAGGTTAAACTTAGCCCCAAGTTTCATGCAAACATTTACTTGCTGTCATGCAGTTGTAGTGGTTGCGTGTGGACTCATTCGCCATTTATGAATTGTGAACGGCTATCGGTGTTGTCCAACGAAGTAGCCCACCAGATTCAGTGTTCAAAAGAACCAATTGCGAGTATCAGCATCACAGTGAATGGGAAGCCTACAGTTAACGTTGATTTTAAAGGTATTGTCTGACAATGAATTGCGAATTTTCGTTTTTATTCATTATTCTACCAAAAGGTCATCTGTGAGCTCAAGAAGCTTTGAGACAAGCTTTAACTTGTTCTGCAGTTCGCTTACCTTATCTTCAGTCTGCACAACTCAACTCCCCAATCTAGCTGTGCCATTTTTCTCTACACAAGTATGCAACCTGATTGTGGAATGAACACTGTTGAAACCACTAACTCCTAATGGAGACAATGATGTTACTTTAGCCTACTCCAATGGCGAACAAAGTCCACGTTGAAGCTGAGCTAAATCAGTGTTAATGTAGTCTGTTAGCCACATTTTGTTGTTTCTACAATTTCTCTTAATGTTTTAATAACCTCTGAATAGAAAGAACGTGAGCTGTCAGAGTATTGTTTAATTTATCACTTTTGTTTTCAGGGTCATGGAGCAAGATGTAGAAGCTATCAGAAAGACAGACCATGCTGTCAGAAAAAGTGCGGAAAAAATGCGCAGATTACGCGACTACGTCAAGAGCACAATTGAACGGCTTCAGGTGAGCGAAGCTACGTGCAGCTGGATGCATTTTGAAGTTCACACAATAGCACAAATAAAGTATTTCTAACAACAAAATCACAATCTAAAGCAGGATTTGGGAACCAATTGTGAAATTCAGGTGTGCCTATTCAGCAAAAGAAAAATGCATTCTTACTCCCTTACCGAAGAGATGTACGAAATAACTTTGGGGAAAACAGTTCACAATCAAAACTTAAATGTGTAGACGGAATGACAGTGATTAATGGGGTTTTGCACGCCAAAATCGCGATGTGATTCTGTTGCTGACCAAATGAGGTCTTCATGAATTTAGATCCCCAGGGGTTCTTTAACGTGGAACTAAATTACTTAAACCAACTTCTCTCATTTCCATCTCTATTGAAAAGTGACCACATCACTCGGGATCAAACCGGTGACGTTCAGGCTAGCAGCTGAGCATCGTAATACTTGTACACCTGCGGTGGGGCCTAGTTGATGCGCAAGCTTCCAAATAAAGCTGGAATTCTCACCTAACAGAAACGAATGTAAACTACAGGATTATATGAAATAGCACCGGCTGTTTTATGCCTACTGAAAACCCAGCGCCACTGGTTACCAGCGTCTAGTGCCTCGCCGTACTATGGGCCCAGTGTGACGCTGGATACTGGGACGCTGGAGCGCATGTTATGGGAGGCGTTGGGCACAGAGCGCAAAACGGCTCTACAGCGTTAAAGCGGAGCTGCAGGTTCACCATAAATAAATATATTAGTAAAAAGACGAAGAGAAAGGATTGACGTATTAAATAGAAAAAAACAAACAAAAAAAACACGTTCAGCTGCAGGATTTTGACTTGCCACTTCGTGATTCCCAATTGAGTACTCTACCCACTACGCCATGCCAGATCATGCTGAGGCGTTAGTAAAATAACAATTCATCTAATGAACATGCCGTTTGGCTTCATGTTTACAAGTCACGCAGTCAACATAGACGTGGTGTTTTCTTTCCGAATAACAATTGCGCCTTTATTCGACACTAACGAATGACTGCCGGGCACGAAATGACTTGCGCATATTGGCAAGAGCACAAATTTTTTTGAGGAATTCGCATCTTAACTACGAAAAAATAAACTGGGCTGTAGGAGCAGCCACATTTCCAGGCTGTTACTGCCGATATTTTTTTCTTTGATATCCGTTTCTCGCTCTTGCTACTGATCAATATGTACAGAGGTTTTATGATGACTGTTCGATACATATGTGCATACACGATCGAACATTGAGCAGTGTTCTCACGCAAGTGACGGTATAGTAGTGTATACAGTTGGCGTGCTAGTGTACAGATTCGCATTTATATCTATACCTACAACTAAACTATTCGGACGAGAAAATACTAAAGCAATCTGCTGAAAAAGCATGCCAGTGTGTTCATTCACTAAGGCGAGCCGAAATTACCCACTGGAAATGAGGTATTCTTATATATTAATCAGAGAAGTACAAGCTACTACGTTCGGCAGCTTTCGTGACAGCCTGCGCTGCTAAAATATGGCACATCGATCGTCGTCGCTGCTTGTGCGGGCACTGCACACGAGGAAAAATGGTTGATTTAGGTTGACGGATGTCTGAAATATACGTTATAGTCATTCTTACACTTAACAACTGTGCTTACTCAAAGGTTCAAGCGCGGGTAACATGTATACCGATGCGGCTGGCACAATAGGCCTAATGCTTGCGGACGGGGAACTGGGTAATATCACTCTCGAAGCAGCGGAGTTGCGATGCTTGAAGTTTCATGCACTTGAGCTTCAGAACATTTCCAACTGTTACCGGAAGTAAATAGAAGAACAAGTATTATCAGACATGCGTTTCTGGCGTAGTGATATCAAACTGACAGCAGTTTTTTTCGCCTCTGCTGAGAAAGCTTGTGAAGGGCAGAGAGAGCTCATTTATGTGTCGTCCACTTTGGGGCATGAACGATTTGCTGTTTGTGTTCGGAGTGGCGACTTAACTCCTGAATTATATAAACTGCAACACGGAATCTTTACAGCAACACATCACTCATGCGAAATTTGGTATATGCAATACGTGGGGGACATGCAAGAAACCTGCAATAATTGCTATAATGCACGTTCACTGAGAATTAACTCTGTTATCGACACTACGTGAATGATGAAAGTAAAGCGTTCTAGTAAGCGAAATCTTCAGTGCTGGTTTCTTCATGTTAATAACGCAATTTTATTCTCATTCCACAGAAAAACATAAAATGTGACAGTGATTTCGCATATCACAGATCATGATTATCGTGTGTGATATACAAAATTGTGACGCATGCTCGGGATCTGTTAGCATAGTATCTATCCCTGCCGTCCAATCAAGCATTTTATTTTCAACAATATCGTAACCTACCACTGCACACGCTACATAAACGTGCGCGCGGTGCTGGAAGAAACATGCGTGCTTCTGTAAACACCAGCGCACTCCAGTGAAAGACCCAGCGCTTCCAGATCTTCCCATTGCGCACCAGTGTCACAGCAGTCAAGCCAGCACCCTTACCAGTGTGACCCATCTCTTTCCCAGTGCGCCCAGTGAAGTTCCAGTAAATACCAGCGTGTACCAGCGTTTCCAGCATGTACCAGTGCCAAAAAAAAAAATGTACTGGCATCACGCTGGGGACAATGTTTTTTGCAATAGAAATATTCTAGAACACCACAATTTTTTTAGAAAGGTATAAATATCATTAATTTACCATGCAGTACTGCCGAACGTGTGGGAGTGCTAAACCAGCTTGAACGCTGTGTCAGCACTCCCACACAAGAAACTAAGGTGGTGACTACAGGCGACATACAAGCAATGCATTCACTGACGGCACCCTATTGCAACACATTACACCACTGTCGTACGGCTGCATCTGCCTACACTGCAACGTCGAAGACACCCAGCTTTATAAGTAGCAGCGATAGATGCAGAGGAAAACCTCCTCCGTGAATAGTTGGAGGCTGTGATCTCCAAGCCCGACCTGTTCGACCAGCGCTAACTCGTCACGCGGGGATGGTGGGGAGGAGAGGGGGCAGGCTAGAGCGGTATTTGAATAAGGAACTGTCCGTCATTAGTGAATTATCAATAAAAGTTTTAAATGCAAACCATTTCTCAGCGAATGACGGTGACTTTGAGTCTATCTATCTATCTATCTATCTATCTATCTATCTATCTATCTATCTATCTATCTATCTATCTATCTATCTATCTATCTATCTATCTATCTATCTATCTATCTATCTATCTATCTATCTATCTATCTATCTATCTATCTATCTATCTATCTATCTATCTGTCTACCTGTCTATCTATCTATATCTATCTGTCTGTCTGTCTGTCTGTCTGTCTGTCTGTCTGTCTGTCTGTCTGTCTGTCTGTCTGTCTGTCTGTGTCTGTCTGTGTCTGTCTGTCTGTCTGTCTGTCTGTCTAGCCGCTAAAAATTGGGTGCTTTCGTGGTGACCCCCTGACTTGGCATCAACCAATATGAGCATGGGATTTGATTGATTGATATGTGTGGCTTAACGACCCAAGATCACCATATGATTATGAGGGACGCCATAGTGGAGGGCTCCGGAAATTTCGACCACCTGGGGTTCTTTCATCATCATCATCATCATCATCATCATCATCATCATCATCATCCTGACTACGTCAACTGCAGGACAAATGCCTCTCCCATGTTCCGCCAGTTAACCCGGTCCTGTGCTTGCTGCTGCCAATTTATACCCGCAAACTTCTTAATCTCATCTGCCCACCTAACCTTCTGTCTCCCCCTAACCCGCTTCCCTTCTCTGGGAATCCAGTTAGTTACCCTTAATGACCAGCGGTTATCCTGTCTACGCGCTACATGCCCGGCCCATGTTCATTTCCTCTTCTTTATTTCAACTATGATATCCTTAACCACCGTTTGTCCCCTAATCCACTCTGCTCTCTTCTTGTCTCTTAAGGTTACACCTACCATTTTTCTTTCCATTGCTCGCTGCGTCGTCCTTGATTTAAGCTGAACCCTCTTTGTAAGTCTCCAGGTTTCTGCTCCGTAGCTAAGTACCGGCAAGATACAGCTGTTATATACCTTCCTCTTGAGGGATAGTGGCAATCTACCTGTCATAATTTGAGAGTGCTTGCCGAATGTGCTCCACCCCATTCTTATTCTTCTAGTTACTTCAATCTCGTGGTTAGGCTCTGCGGTTATTACCTGCCCTAAGTAAACATAGTCTTTCACAACTTCAAGTGCACTATTACCTATCTCGAAGCGCTGCTCCTTTCCGAGGTTGTTGTACATTACTTTCGTTTTCTGCAGATTAATTTTAAGACCCACGTTTCTGCTCTCCTTGTCTAACTCCGTAATCATGAGTTGCAGTTCGTCCCCTGAGTTACTCAGCAATGCAATGTCTTTAACGTGCACCCAAATCTGAGCACACGGGCCTACAACATTTCCGCCTCCATCGGAAATGCAACCGCCGCAGCCGGGATTTGATCCCGCGACCTGCGTGTCAGTAGCCGAGTACCTTAGCCACTAGACCACCGCGGCGGGGTAATTAGCATTGGTGGGTAAGATGGTTTGACGAATATGACGTGCTGGTCAAGATATGATAGACATTCATCGCATACAATGCCATCGACAATGCTGACAATGCCATCGCGTACCTCGTCAAACACTTCCCGCCAGGCAGTGGCACATACCAATGGATGGGTTTGTGCCACTGGCATGCAGCTATGTGCCACAGGTGATTGACACTCAGTATACATCCAGGAACGTGCATGGAGAACACACATGGGCAATTTTAACGCATGAGTGTAAAGAAATACCCGATATCAGTAGCGTCGACCCGAAGAATGCAAAGAATAAATGTCAGGGTCCCAGCTGAAATCAAACCCAAGATTTGAGTGTCAATGAAGAATGTTACTAAAGAGCTACGCCAGGTCTCAGAACTACTTTTCAAATAGTCTTCGAGAAACGTCAATACTGGTTGCAGTGCTACCTACACATTTTGATGAAGATGATATATTTACTCCTTTGACACAGCCGTGCCGTCGGGTTAACGTCAATTGTGGTTAGTTGCCATGCGCTGGAGTTGATTTATGTAGCAGTGTCCAGGGTCAGCATCCTCGCGAGCATCAGCGCTTTATATCAGTTTCTGGTGTTGCTAATACGCATGTTCTAGTTGGCATCGTTGTGCAAGTGTGAACAACTGGTTATATAAACTTTGCAGCTCTTCAACATATATCTATGTGCACAACATTTGTAAATATACTTAGCATTATTTCATGACGTGTCGATCAATAAAAAAATTGCCACACGATAACCTTCCCTCCACATGCTTCGCATAACGTCGATTCCCAGGTAGGGGGGGTCTGCCAAATTTTTTTAGATGTGAAGCAGCTTAGGATCACCCTCACTATGCATGCGCGTCATTTTCCCCCTCTCCTCTCCTACGCTCACCTCTCTCTCGCATCGCAATGCCGATGCAGGATGCCTGCACTTATCTACGCTCGCTCCCCCTCATTCTTCTCTAGGCATTCCTCGCCGTGGCGTTTACACCCTCAGTACGCATGCGCCTCACCCCCCTTTTCTCTCCTCTCGCACGCTCCCCTCTCCGTTGCCTCTCAGCACCCACCTAGGCAGCGTCTGCTAGCGAGTTTACCCATTTAAAAAATTGGCCCCGTATCCCCGTGTCACCACAAATGTCGTTGAAAGATGATAGTCTTGCGTCTGGAGAGAGTGAACAAAAGGTTTATTTGATTTTCTGTGCAAGGGAATCGGTGAATGGTATTCCGGAGGCGCTGCGTTATAGTGCCTGGAGCGCGCAGCGGAGGCAGACGAGCGCATCAAGTCACGTCACACGTGAGACATGAGCGCAATCTGACAGTTATCTTGGAAAGCGGGGCTCGCGCCGTGCACGCCAGTCTCTGGGGTGATAAGGTGTAGAACGCAAGGCGACGGGTAGGTGGCACCACCGTGTCGTCTTAGCAAAGCGATGGAAACACTTGTAATTTCGTGCAAGCGTTGCATGGCCAGCGCAGCGTTATAAAGGCTACGATCCTAAAATTACCTATGTGTGGCTTTTCTAGTAAAAATGTTAATGTCTAGTAAAAATGTTTTCTAGTAAAAATGTAGTAAAAACGTGTTGTTTTAATGCCTCACATATGCACAATGACTGCTTTTTAATTGACAATCGCACCGGTATGCACGCTGAACCTTGAGCAATATTGGTGGGTGCTGCGGATGGGGTTGGCCGCTTTGAGTAACGTTTGATCACTCTGGTGCCGTTTAGAGTACCGTTAAGGGTGGACAAACAGACAAATGTACAGACAGACAGACGGACAGACCAAAACTTTTCCGCCGAAGGTTCTCAAGAAAGACCAGCGTCTTTAACAACCGACTGCTCGTGCTACACAACTGTTCAATATACACCCTGTATATTTGGGCTCTGGATCTTGATTTCCTAGGTAGACTTCCCCTCCAGCAGACCTTCTCTGTGTGTTGTTGAACGATAAGTATTCGCAGCGTGCATTTTAACTAAAAGCGGTCAGTGGGTTCTTGTGTGCAATCAGAGTCCACTGTCTTTCATTGCCTATTAGAAGCGATGGGCATGCTCCAGTAGGAAACACTGGTCCATCACTGCGTTCTTTGCGCCTCCCCAGGTTTGTCTCCGGCGCAACGCCACGATGAGCGCAGTCATCAGCGTTGCTGCCAGTGTAAGCGTTAACGCAGCTGCACGCTACAGGTTACTTTTAGCGGGGGATGCAGTTTGTTTTTGTCTCTCTGTCTTACAGAACCCTGTCGACTGCAAGTCAGCGCCCAAGCTGAGCTGCCTCCTTGACAACCCGTGGGGTTTCGCAGCCGGCTGCCCATGATGTACTTTGGTGCTTTGTGGCAGCCTTGCAAATGGGTCGCACGTTAATTCTCAACAGTACTGCGTGGCACTATGCTCCAGGCGACAGTGGCTGGACAAACTGCACTCCGACCTCTTACCGGTCCTTCCTGCAACGGTGCTGGCTCTCACAACATGATAGTCGACGGCTACCCTGGATATGATTCGGGTTAGTTGTCTTGTTGTCTGCTCCCTTAATAATAACTGCGGTTTATAAATATATATATATGTGTCATTTTGTATCAAATGTGCCCGGTCAATTTTCGACCATCTATCGGAGACGCTGCACCAAGCAGAAGCGCTCGTTTCGTCTTCTTCTAGTTTTGTGTCTCGTCCTCAGCGCAGTTAGGTTCTCAAAATGGTGCGATCATCACTTTCGCGTTCTGTTGTGAGGCAGGCTAAGTACGCAGAGAATAAACAATATCCGAGCTTTCCTTTATTCGTAGTACGCAGAGTGCTGGTGTGGAGACCAATTTTCAAATGTTTGGCTGCAGCGAAGGCAAAGTGTACTTTTTGAATAGAGGGGGGGGGGGGATTTTTGGTGTAATTGTAAAAATGGCTTAGCCTAGACATATTCAAGCCTTCATTTTGCTTCCTAACTAGCCGTACACGTCTCGTCGATTCCTTCTGCAATTTATCGGCTGACTCCACTTTGTTTTACGTTTATACAAGCTTGACTTATGGTAAGGTTATCGTGCCAGCTTGGCAACTATTTTATTTTTCAGGTCTGAAGGAGCGAAGTCCGCATTGTGATCTACCAGTGTCTATAGCGAAGGACCTGGTGGCGAATCACTGGTGACCCGTACGCCTGGTGGTATGGCCAGATCATGGCTTACATCTTCCGGTTGCAGAATTCGACACGGCAGCTGATAGAAGACTTCAAGATGAAGAACGGACTACAAGCATCCTATTGTAGCGTGAGTTATTGCATATTCACGTGTGATTTGCGATTGAATACGCTCCGAAAGCGAAGAGGAGCCCTAATAACCTCTTATTTGTCGAGCCCCCGCCGCAGTGGTCTAGTGGCTAATGTACTCGACTGCTGACCTGCAGGTCACAGGGATCGAATTTCGGCTGCGGCGGCTGCATTTACGATGGAGGCGGAAATGTTGTAGGCCCGTGTGCTCAGATTTGGGTGCACGTTAAGGAACACCAGGTGGTCGAAATTTCTGGAGTCCTCCACAATGAGGTCTCTCATAATCATATCGTGCTTTTGGGATGTTAAACCCCACAAGTCAATCAATCTTATTCATCGAAAAGTGCCCCGCCCCTCTCCCCTTCTCCGCATTGCCGTAGGCAAAGCTTTGTTTCGGTGGTGGCATGTCATTCATATGACACAGAGGCCGGGCAAGCACGTGTGGCGAAATGTATTAATGCGTGCTGTTCATGTAGTTGGTTCACTGAAGACATGTTTAAACTGCACAAAAGGAACAACAAGTTGTAAACGTAGAACACACATGCAAACGATACGACACATGCACGCATCAGTGTGTGCGTTCTCTATGTTTAACATGCCGCTTTAGCGCAGTTTAAACATGTTTTCAAATGGTTGAGTGTCATTTTCGTGCTTGGCTTATACCATGGCAGAGAAGCTATGGCAGGCGCACTTGCCCGTTGTACAAACCCCTAGGTGCGCCACTGCCCCTCGCCCTCCAATATCAAATAAAGAAATGTTTTGTCTTCATCTTGTTTCAATCAATCTCAAAAGAATGAGATTGAGGGAAAAGAGCACGCGGTAGAATCGTCACGAACAACTGTGCACGTGTTATTAGCAATAGAAAAAATGTACGCAAATATCAACAAAAACCAGACCAAAAATATAACTTGTGAAGTGGTTAGAATGATGGCAACAAATCGACAACTGCATTGTCAGCCACGTGTCAAGGTCGATGCTGTTAGCGCTCTCAATTATCAATTTCCTTTTGCAGGACTGCAGTTCAAAGCGTCTAATGCTGGCGTTTTTATATTCTTGTTTCTGGTCTTCGACACATGTTCCAGATCTCGGATTTCGCGCTCCTCGGGGTGGTGAGAATTCGCGAAGACCTCCTCTGTCCCGTTTTCGAGCTATTTCTAGCGAGACAACGTTGAAAAGCTCGTTTCACAGAAATTCCGGTCTTGGAGTCAGCGTCGGTGTCGTAGGCTGTGAGCAAAAATCGTCATCTAGTGCGTGTCTGAGAGACGAGGGAAATGCAAATAAAATATATATTAACAATTTTCGGGTCCTACTGAGGATAGAACCCAGGCCGTCTGCATGACAAGCGGGGGTTCTACCGCACAACCATGCGTTTGCTTGGAGAACTGAATAATTAACTTCTTCTGCTTGGAAATGCAGTGAAACTAACGTGCATACTTTGCAAATGCACGCTTTCTGTATACAGGCTTCAAGTACAACTTGTACGCAATACAATAATATTGCGCGGTACAAGCGTACATTGTCATCGGCTCTAAGATTACGTGATTTTTATAACGAGCTCGTTAATGAAAGCCGGCAATTCGTCATAAAAGGCGCACACGTTACTGGGCGTATTTCCATAAGGCCACATAGTGGATGAGTAGTAATTTGCAAAAGATTTCGAGCGCATAATTGCTCTGAATTTAAAGCATGTTACCCGGCCACAACACAGACTGCAGCCATATGCAAAAGCTTCACTGACACAACCACTTTCAACTTTATCAACGAGATTGTATAACCAACAATATAAGCCTCGCGAGCAATATATCTTACAATGAAAAGTATGGACTTATTGTCTGAAGTACGCACTGAGCACAGGATAGCACACTGGCATTCAGCTCTCAAACGAAAAGGTTATTGTTGCCCCAATTTTTCATCTAAATTACATGCATTTATTGGCCCATCGAGGTACACTCTTAAAAATGGAGTGACGTTCACTCTATTTAGGGAGAATCGGCGATGTCCCCAATGTTCGTCTTTAAATAAAGAAACATTGCTCCTTTTCCCACGGAGAAACATGTTTCTCCCTATGAGTATCTAGATGGCTGACACCACGTTAGCGAAGCGAGTAGGCTTAGCAAATGCATCGATTCTCGACTGATAAATAGTACACGGCACTGACAGTTACAAAAAAATGGTCCCGCTGAGCTTGATATCGAAAGAAATGATTATAAAAACAGGCGGACGAACCTGTGGTGATGAAAACATCGCGAAACAGAACGACGGAGCTAGTAGGTTTCGTTCGGCCAGCAAGATGACGTTCACTTTAAAAGACACGGATACTTCGGAGTCCGCACCCGAACAGTGCATGCTAGACTTCCTGTATTTATTTCTCGAAGATTCACATAGTGTAGCGACGTTATCCACGCGTTTACGGGGCCGCAGGTCACAAGATGTGCTCCCAAACCGTAAACTCGATCGCAGCGAAACCATTTCGACTCAGTAGTGCAAGAGAGGCACCAATAAAACGAAAAAAAAATAAACGTCACTCCTGCATTGCTTGCATCAATCTTAGGTAAAAGTAATTGCTCGCGACTGGCCGTGGCCATCTAGGCTCGGCGCGCGCATGCGCGCTAGCAAGACCCCCGTAGTTGAGAAACACTGAAGGAGAAAAGTTGCTCCTTGGTCCTTGCCGCGAGAGGGCGCGACGGGTAAAGCGGCCGAAAGGGAGCAAGTCGCTGCGCCGAAGGAGAAACGAAGCCCGTTTCTGCATTCTCGCTCCTTTATCTTTAGAGTGTAGGCTTTATAGACATTCCGAGCAAAATATTCATTTTTTTTTCATATTCACTCGGTCATCTGTGCCATGAGGTCACTCGGTCATCTGTGCCATGAGGATAGTGTGTAACGAAGGCGAAGTGTGTTTGTTTTAGGGGGGCGGGGGTGGATAGGGTGACGTTTTGATTTCCATACCTCTGTCCCTGAGCTACAATAATAGACGGGTAGGTCTTCTTAGGACGTCCTTGTAATCAGTGCACTGACAAAAAAATCGCATTGTGTTGGCCATTGTGATTTATGATATGGTTCATTTTTTGTTGCTGCATTTACAGTATGCATATTCGGCGCACGGACAAGAAAAAGGAAGCTGGCTTCCACAACGTGGCTGAGTACATGCAGCATGCTGAAGAGTTTTACAGCTCCCTGGCGCTTAAGGGCCAGTTTGTCCAGAAGCGTGTGTTCGTCGCTACTGATGACCCCGAAGTCATTACCGCGCTGAAATCGAAGTAAGAAAACACTTATTACTGATATGTAGTTGCTGTACAGACACGGGTGAAAGTTTGAGCGCCATTTGGTCCCACAAGAAATTTATTTTTGCTTTTCAGCCCTTGCACACTCTTTTTTTGTATTCGAGTGGTACCATAACCGAAGTGCGCATGTTAGAGAAAAGCGGTGCATTGAAGCTATGCTACACACTTGAGCTGTACTAGGAGAAAATATATTTTCGTCATTGTCCTTTTTCTGTAAGCCCTCCCTCTTTTCAATATTATTTTTATTATTCCTAGTGATAATATTATCATTTTTATTATGAAGACTATTATTCTGTGATAGTGTAAAGAAGTGTGTAAACGACGAGAATGAAATAGATGGCATGGCCTCCAAGATGGCGGGCATGCTGCGGGTTTCTCTCCGGCCATCCAAATTGCACGGAAAGCCCTTGTTTCCAGAGGTGGGCGTGGCCCGCTCTTTTCTTCGCACTGCGGTGCTGCTTGGTATAGTCTAAAAGGCTGCCGAGTTGTTGCCAAAGTGTACATGCGTCGAGAAAAAAAAATGGTTTTGCACGAGTGGATAACTTCTCACTCATTTGTAAAAGTTGTGCCAAGGTGTGTGAAAGGCAAAGTCAATGCTTGGGCGTATATATTCTCATAATGGGATTTCTTTTGCGGCAGATTTGCACCAGTATAATAGAGCATTTACAATTGCAATGCTTCTGCAATAGATCCGCGCATACTGGAAATTTACTGTATAGTGAAGTTCGCAGGCTGTATAGTATAGAGGTCACTGTCGAAGAAAAAAATAACAGTTCGATCAAGACGCGAAGTCGAGTGCCGGGTTTTGTGTTTACGGGTTGCACTCGTATAAAAGGATTGCTTTTTCTTTTGTATCATAGAATTAGAGCTGCTTTTATATGTAACGCCATTTCAAGAATTCTCCTGTCAAGCCGCAGGATACAGGAACGAGGGTGAAGGCGGTTGCCATGTGTCTAGACTATGCTTATACTTAAGGTAGCTGTGTTTGCGACGACCACGGGCTAGTTACAGGCACATTTTGGTCGCTTGTGGTCGCCCATTCCCACTGTGAATTTTAAAGTGTTCTGTGGATACATCGGGCAATGTAGGAACGAACATCGAAATGTTTTGCTTGTTCAACTAGTGCGCAACACCCGTTTAGAGTTTGATGCACCTGGTATGAAATACTGCGGTATTACATAGCAGTGACAATTTGCACTTTTTTTTAGCTGCCCGTCTTAGCAAATACTTAGTTTTTATTTAAAAAAACACCGTTATGTTACAGAGGCGACCCTTTGATTTGGGTGTAGTCGAGAGTGAAGGAAGTGAACACGACACTGATATTGTCATTGTGCTATCAAAACATGTTCAAAATTTAGATTAGGAAAAAAAAAGGAGACGATGACAACTCAAACACCTTCACTGTGAAAGACGTAGGAAGTGAATGTAGGTCCGCTAATCAAAGTCTTATAAATTTTCCAGCATAAGCACCTCGTACATACCTTATTTTAATGGCATGGCCAGGGCACCCAGTTATCTAGAGTGTAACTGCGCTTCAGTTGATAACCTCATCAATATCTGCACACAATATAATAGTAAAATATTAGTCAGGATAGGAGAGCAATGCAATTGAAAAGCAATAATTAGTCCAGATTTCCCCCACACATGTCTCCAAAAGCAAGGAGGAATACTAGAATGCCTGTGTATTTTTTTAAATTGAGGTATTTAGCTCCGATACAAAAGGGACCATAATGAAAGAAACGTAATACTGCCACAGACGAATGGAAACCTCCTTACAAGAACCTAGCAAGAAAATGCAGCAGTTGCCATGCTTTGCTTGACAAATTGCACCAAAATAAATGCTACAACAGAAGAAAAATGATTTTCTTCATTTCAGCTAGAAGGTTTTGGTGGTGACTTTTGCTCATCGGCGGGGAAAAAAAAAGCCATGTGCACGCTAGAATCACGTGCGCTTTGCTGTATGCCATGGTCTCAGCCGCCGCCGGAACCCTCACTCAATGTGCCCTCTCACGGTAGCCAGGCGCGCGAGACTATACTTGTTAGTGTTGTTGGGGAGTGCGGCAAGCGGGACGGCCGGAGAGAAACACGCCGTGCGCCCGCCATCTCGGAGGCCAGGAAGGAGGTTATAGGCTTTAAAGTACCACCAATAGGGGGACAATGGCTGCTCATACCTTTTCAAATGTACAGCTCGGCGCAGTCAAGAGTCGCACTGCGCATCTCTATGTGCCACACCACACATTAAATCAAGTATGTTACCATAACGCCTCGTTCAAGTTGCCGTGCATCCTGCCACTTTCACTTCTGTTCATAAGGAATTGAAATGGATAGAGAGAAAGAAAGTCAAGAAGAAAAAAAACTACCGAATAAGAGTCAATGCAGGCAGACGTAAATTGTGAACATGAAAAAAAAAAAGCCTTTGAATGGGATGCCATCTCGCGTTCAAAAAAAGAGTCAGCAGGACGCAATGGCCTGTCAGCTATGAGCAGTGCATCCTATCGAAAAGGGGGCAGTGGTGGAGGGTTGTACAACATATCGCAAGCAGGATTGATTGATTTATTAGAAATACACGTTGTACAAAAACGGAGGCAAAATGATTGTGTTCTACATACAAGGCATAAGAGGGAAGAAAACGGTAGAGGACGAAAGCAAAGGAGGTTAACCAGTCCAGGAAGGCTGGTTTGTCACCCTATATGTTGGAAAGGTTAGCAGGAGATTGCAAGAAAGAGAAAGCGTGAAAAGGGAAATTTAGCACATAGCACAGCACACACACAAAGATGTAGTCAGTAACATGTCCGTTACGTTCAACTTAGGCCCTCGGGACGTCTTCATGCTCTCCCATAGTAGAGTACTTAGTAACTTTTTAGAAAAAAAACATATTTGTGTGTTTACATAGTTGTGTGTTAGAAACACACATATTTGTGTGTTTAGAAAAAGTAACAACTTTTTCTAAACACACAATTATGTAGTGACTAACATGTCCATCACACTCGCGTAATACCAGATACCACTGTCACAGTATTTTGTCCAAGTTAGTTTCTGTTAGAAACGTCAGGAGTTGCTTGGTCGCCTGCAGCTGCGTTGTTCTCTGTGGACTATGTTGAAGAATAAATTTAATCGGCATTCGTCTAATATAACGGTGCACCAGAACAGACATCTGTGACTGTCTTTGAGCATCGTATAGCGAACCGTCACACACGATGTGGCGTAGCGTCTCCTCACTACGACAGACGCCGCAAACCTAGATTAAGGTACATGCTAAACAATGCAGGTGGTAAACATTTCCGAAGCCCTCTGCTGTGGTGCCTGTTGGAACCATATCGTCGCCTAAGGGATGCTAAACTACCAACAGGCGTTACATTCCTCTGTAAATGGTGTTCAAAGTACGAGTGCGTTATTGCGCTGGAGCACAAGAGGAGAGAAACAAAGACGGTTTGTAGTTTTGCGTTGCTATTTAAAGTAATATATATTACCCACTCGTCCAATCAGCCATTCTGTTTGTACAAAATTGATGGCCACTCTAGATTTAGAAATGTTCCATTGTTTCGCAGGTACATTTGTGTACAATGAACTGCCCACATGTATTGTGTGTATAAACGGTTCCCCACCGCGGCTGGACTCCGAACACGTGTGCGTGGAAATTATATGTGCTAGTGATTCATGCGCAAGTGAAATTATGGCTATCGTTCATGCCATGCTTCATGTCTTTGTATAAAGGGCATGATATGGTGTCACTAGTGTTTGTTGGACGAGTGCAAATTTTAGAAGCTTCATATATGGTTTATGTCAGCTTTAAGCATTGTTTTCTCGCTGCACATAGTTGCGCTAATGTACAGTAATCTTCTGAAGGTATTCTGAGATGAATAATTGCTAGATAACAACTAAGAAGTTTCTCTAAGCAGTAGTAAAGAATATACATACTGAAGAAATAATAGCGGGAATATGTCAGTCGCATTGTCAAGGGAATGGGGATGTTCAAAAAGTGCACCTGTGTCAGAGGTACAATGTACAATCTGTTCAAATACTGTAAAGATAAAGTGGGGTACCGAGATATCCAAGAAATCCAAGAAATTCATAAGTGGCATAAGGCAACGATGTTGCAGTTGTTTTCTAGGTGCCTTCAAAAATGCCGAATTTTAGATCATTCAGTGTATTAATGGAGTTACTGAAAGGAGCAGTACACTATCAATTTTGTGGGGTTAGCTTTCTAAATTTTTTTTCCTGCTCTCTTTTTTCTTAGAAGTATTTTCAGAGTGCTCAACATGGAACTGTTAATTTGCGTAAGTATAAAGCCGTTATTGTCACGATTATGTTTAAAAGCTGTTGAGCGAATTTCGATTCGTGCCTTCTCAGCTTTTAGCGCAACTTTCGATTCGCTGATTTTGTCGACAAGGCTTTCTATGTTAATTCACCTGGAACACTGACACTTTTGATCTACTGTACTCGCAAAATGTGATATCATTTTTTTTTAATTTTTTCACGTATAGCTACTGCTGCACGCTAGTACTTCTGGTAACCGCGGTATGTCGCTGAGAATTAGACCCGTAAATTTATTCTTAACTCTGATGCAAGTGCTCCAGTCAATATTGCGTAAAATTACACAAAACTTTAGGTGATTCACATGGTACGCACTGGCATAACTTAGCCTTAAACATTCATGCTTCAATCTGTCAACACTGCACCTATTTCTGACAACGCAGGTTTCCAGAGTACAAAATCATCTCCAATGGGCGTTCTGCCCGTGAGGCCTTTGACTTGAAGGCTCGAGCTAAAAGCACGGCTCTTACCGGGCTGCTCATCGACATTCACCTGCTCGCCGAGTCGGATTACCTCGTGTGTGCCTTTTCTTCTGGGGTAAGACCAATGGCTTGCTTGTTCTCCTGGGCGACAGATTCTAGCATTACCTGGTCGCTCAAAATTAGAGCTATTACCATCTTGACATTGTTTAAGTGTAGGTTTCACGCTTAGTGAATAAGTGATCACTTTTTTAAAGTGGTCCCCGCCGCGGTGGTCTAGTGGCTAAGACACTCGGCTGCAGACCGCATGTCGCGGGATCGAATCCTGGCTGTGGCGGCTGGCATTTTCGATGGAGGCGAAAATGCTGTGGCTTGTGTGCTTAGATTTGGTCGCACGTTAAAGAACCCCAGGAAGTCAAAATTTCCGGAGTCCTCCACTACGGTGTCTCTCAAAACCATATGGTGGTCTTGAACGGTAAACCCCTAACAATTCTTAATATTACTTCCTGAACGCCAGTAAAATATGCTCGTGACTAACTGGAAAGCGATTCGTGGCTGTTTCCTGTGAATCATCAAGTTTGTTCAGACGGAAATACTACTATGACACCGCAGAAAGAACGCATCTGTACAACGTCTTCGCAGTTGGTATCGTGACAGAATTAACCAAGAATGATGCTGGCAAATATGTACTACCGTAGTGGCATCGCCGCTACGGCAGGTAAACTGCTAAACAGGGGCGAGTTTTCGTAGCGATAGGCGTAAGTGGCCGAGCCGAAGTGGCTTCACGAGCCCGTACAAGAGCCGTGCTTCGTATGGGCGAAGAGTAGCGACGGCGTGCGCCTCACCGCTCTGCGCATTCCAGAGGAGTGACGTCATGGCCGCGGCAGACGCCTTCTGGTCGTAACCCGTCGCTCGTGCAGTTCAAGCCATGCTGCTCTCTTTGGTCGCGGATATCAAGGTGCTATACATTTAGTGGCGCGTCTGCCAGTATGGTATTCCACCAAAATGTCACCAAACCTAGGAGAGGCCACAGCCAGGAAGAGTTCCGCATCCTCGGAAGAACAGGGCAAGGCTGCACGCATATAGCCATAGACAAGGAAGCGAAATCGCTTCTCAGTGGCGCAAAAGGGCAGAGAAGCTTAACTCATTCGATGCTGGAGTAGTTGCCCGGCAGTTAGTAGTTCAGCGTAGGAAGAAGCCACATAAGAAGGATAAGAAGGCTAAAGATGCTGCGGAGACACTGGAGCAAAGCGAGGAACGTCTAGCAATGCGGCGTTGCCATGAGGCCGATTTACTATATGCTCAAACATGGCGAAAGGACCAGTGCGGCTCGGACCTTCATGACGGAGTTCGTAAACAATTCGTTTGGATATGTGTGCGACTGCAGCACCTGAAAGGCTTGACGCTGGTAATTAGTGTCATGGATAAAACATTAGGTTAGCGGCGCCCTCTTAGCTTATGCTACACATTCTGGCATAGCCTACCTAAGCCGCTGCTGGATGTCTCCTATAGGCATTGGCAGACGTACATCAGTGGGTGTTAATCGAATGAATACCGTAGCTATTTTATTACTTGCACTGTACAGGGAATGGTTACACATGCACAATTATGTGAAAGTGGCATTTGGGCTCCTCACCACGAAGTTTTCGGCCTGGCCAGTTTGGAGAAAAAAGGTACATAAACATGGCGTCAAATATTTTTTTTTCAATTGTAGCAGGCACAGCTGCCACGTCAATATTAGCATAAAAAATTATTCCACAGGAGTCTATCACCGTTGTTCTAGTTCTTTTGAAAGTATTCGAGTGTTCAAGAAGTGAAAGAACATCAACGCCCTACACACGGAAAGAGCTTCTGTGGGTATGAATTGGGACATCAGTGTTGGCTCCTACTTGTGTTCGGAGTAACACTTGTAAATCTCTCGTGTGTCCTTTGTTTTGCCGGCACAGCTTATATTAACTGTGCAGTTCACCTGTGAACGAGAGGAGAATCTACCGAGTCAATACGGCCGACTTCCTGGCTCACCGAAGCTCCTTCTAGAGTAACGTCGGGGCACCTCCTCAGTATTTTCCGTTTTCATTGCTGCAGAGACTGTGATGTGACCACGTGCTGCTTACTCCGTTAGGTGTCGACTCTTTTTGGCTTTAGTTTTCTTGTACAGTGTCTTGGCTCTTCCCGCGCTCTTTTATTTTCATTCTTCTCCCCTTTCGTACATTCGCCAGAGTGCGCCACGTACTGGTTATGCATTCTGAACGATAATGTGGCCGCTGTAAGGGTATACTGCGGTTTGATTTTAGGGACACCAGAAAAATCGTGAAAAAAATCACCGCTTTGTAGGTGTAACGAGCTGTATAGAGAGACAAAGCTCTAGATGAGACGCTCGTGTTTCTGTACAGAAACCTGCGATGACTCAATCGTCATCGGGCAGTAACGAGGCCGTTTATGCAGTCACGCAAAAAAATGTATTTACAAAAGACATGAAAGGTCTAATAATAAATGAAGTAAGGGCAAAAATATAACGTGCTTGGAATGCTGGCGTGAGAGTCACAAGGGCATAAAAACAGAGAGAGTTCACCGGAGAGGAAGGCGGTGGTCAAGTCCCGGCGGCAAACTCAACGCTGGGGAGGGACGGCCGACGCTTGGGTAGCCTGGTAAGTCCAATGACAGCCGCGGCCAAGAACGCGGCTCACTGCGGAGGTCGTTGACCTGGAGCAGGCATGGCGTTTGTCATGCCTATCTCGAACGCTGGCTGGCGCTCGCTGCCGTAGGTGCCGGACTCGCCTGGCGGAAACGTCCTGGCGACGTTTCGTCCAGGCCAGGCCCAAACTGCAAGGACGGCTGGTATGGCCCCAGGGGGGAGCCTGCTGAGACCTCGAGTCCGCAACCCGACGGGTCACTGCTCCCACGCCCTGGTTCTTCAACCTTGCTTCTTCCTTCCAGCCACATCTGCCTCTCTCCTTCTTTTTTGCCCCACCACCTGCCCTGATTTTTTTCCTGCGTCGTCTTCTTCGAGTGTCTCTGTGGCACGCACTTCAAACACAATTCTATCTTCACGATCACGCACGGCCACTTCACTCATCACACATGCCCCTCCTTCGGAAAATTTTTCTTTAAAAAAAAAAAACTTTCTAGCCACGTCTTAGTCGCAATCACCACGTGTCCGCACAAGACCATTGCACCGCACCACTGAATAGAGGTGATATATGTCCACAATAAATGTTCACACACCCTCACACATAAAAACAAGAAAAAAAAATGTAGTCGGCCATGGCACGATGACTGGTTTCTTCTGGTGACTAAACCACGTGGTTCAGAAATATACATTGTAGACAAACTGTAAACCAGTTGCAATGCACTTCCGTGAAAGCTTAAGTTACAGTCTACTCATGAAATCGGCACCTGAATTATCTGAGCCTCTAATATGTTGAATAACAAAAGAATACTCTTGTAATGCCAGACTCCATCTCAGTACTCTGCTGTTCAGGTGTTTGGCCTTAGCTAGATATTGTAATGATTGGTGATCAGTTTGCACAACAAACTGCGTTCCGTACACAAAGCTGTGAAACTTTTCTATTGCCCACTGCCAGACATTCTCGTTCTATGGTGGAGTAATTCTGTTCTCGCGGCAATAGCTGTCGGCTGGCGTATGACACTGGATGTAACACCCCATCGTGGTCCTGCATGAGAACTGCCCCGATACAGGTGTCAGACGCATCCGAACGCAGTACGAATGTGCGTTTCGGATCAGGAGCTCGTACTATTGGTCCTGATGAGAGGGCTTGCTTCAGTGTCTCAAAAGCTGCTTCTCTTCCTTGGTTCCAGCAGATCTTGTTCTTCTCCCTTTTCTTGGTTAATTCCAATAAAGGCTGGGCCTTTTCGGCATATCGGGGTATTAAATCGCGGTAGTATCTTGCTAATCTCAGGAACGATCGTAGCTGCCTCTTGGTCTCGGGTCGAGTTGCCTTAGCAACCTTCGCCACTGTACTTTCTACTGGTTGAATAGTTCCGCTCCGAACCGATGACCCAAGAAGATGATGGATTCCACGGCAATTTCACATTTCTGAGGCTTGATGGTTGGTCCTGCTTCACGGACTCGCTGCAACAAGTGCTGTAAAGTCTCCAAGTGCTCCTCCCAGGTCGCTGTAGCTACGAGAACGTCGTCAATGTAATGGACTACGTTTTCCACACCCTGAAGAAGAGTCCTCATTAATCTTGTGAACACTGCGGAAGCCGTCTTGATGCCGAAAGGCATATATATGAATTGGTAATGTCCTGACTGCGTCGAGAAGGCAGTGACTGGTCTTGAGGCCCGATGGAGTGGGACTTGCCAATAGCCTTTTGTCAGATCGAACTTGGAAAAATATCTCTTGGTGCCGACCTCGGTGAACATTATGTCCGTTCGTGGTATAGGTTCGGCATCGGAGATTAGAATCTCATTGATACGCCGAAAGTCCACACACGTACGATAAGTGTTATCCGGCTTCTTGACGAGAACCAGTGGTGAATTATAAGGAGAATTCGATCTCTCGATGACGCCAAGCTTCAGCATGTCTTGAACTTCCTTCTTGACGACTTCCTTCATTGCTATCGGCAAAGGGTACTGTGGAGTGTTAATAGGTTCAGATGTCAACTGAAGGCGGCACTCGTAAATGTTTGTCTTTCCGGGGATGTCTGAAAAGACATCGTCATAAGCGGCTAGAATGATTTCAAGCGCAACACGCTTCTCTTCTTCCAGTCCCTCGGTTATAGGAATTGCTTCCACGCCAACGATTCGGGTAGTCTTGCAGACTGGTAATGGCGTGTCTGTCTCGTCTTCTTCCATGACCACGAAAGATGCTGTTTGAGGGGTTGCCCTCGGCTGCCGATTTTCATAGCGCTTCAGCATATTTATGTGGAACAGTTTGTTGCCATGTCTCAGGTCCAATAAATAGTCGTGGTTATCTTTCTTTCCAACGACTCGAAAAGGTCCTTTCCATTGCATCAATAACTTGTTCTCCGTGGTAGGGAGTAAGATCAAAGCAAGATCTCCCACTTCTAACAGACTGTTCTTGCTTCCCCGATCATAGTACTGCTTTTGAGTTTTCCTCGCTTGTGACAAGTTCTCATGGTCTAATGGCAACGTCTTCTCAAGACGATCTCGAAGATCCAAGACGTAGCCACACATTGTTTTTACTTCATCACTGATGTGTTCTCCTGTCCATATCTCCTTCAATATACTGAGAGGGTCTCTAACGTATCTCCCATAGATAAGTTCAAACGGCGAGAATCCCATGCTGGTTTGGGGTACCTCTCGGTATGCAAAAAGAAGCGGCGCGAGCAGCCGATCCCATGATTTCGGATCCTCTGGACATAGTTTTCGCAGCATCTGTTTCAGCGTGCCATTAAACCGTTCAACCATCCCGTTGTGCATAAAGTGGTAGGGTGTCGAACTTAGATGTTTGATGGATAACAATGCGTTGACTTCTCTCATCAACTCGGACGTGAAGCAAGATGCCTGATCGCACAGAATCTCACGGGGAAATCCAGTGCGTGAAAACATTTCCAACAGGCCCTCTGTCACAGTCGCCGAATCAATCGCGGGCAGGGCCACTGCGTCCGGATAACGTGTCGCAATGTCAACCATTGTCAGAATGTATCGGTTACCCTTGTTAGAGACTGGTTTCAAGGGTTCGATAATGTCAACTGCCACTCGCTCGAATGGTGTCTCAATCAACGACGTTTGGCCAAGTGGTGCTTTTCTTCTTTGCTTTTCGGGTACGTTCTTTGGCACGTATCACAAGATCGAACGTATCTTTTAGCTTCTTCCTGTACTCTAGGCCAATAGAACGATCCTAGTACCCGATCAATGGTTCTTTTCGTACCTTGATGTCCTGACATCAGACTTTCGTGCACCATCTCAAGCACTTGGCTGCGCAATTTGCAGGGAACCACCACCTGTTTTATCATTTTGCCAGAGGATAACCGGTAGTGGTGGTAGACTATCACCCTTTCTATGGTAAACGAATAATGGGTTGATCCCCTTCCATAATATACTTGTCTGACTTTGTTTCTGCAGGTATCCAAGGTCTTGTTTTCTGCTTGCGCAGTTTCGAGATCCTTTCTGGTCATTTTCAAACTGTCGACCTTGAGTGTGGCTGAATCCGGCTTAGACCTTGTGCTCTTGATGCCGCTCAGCAAGTGGTTCAAGTGATGACTTTCCTCCTTGTATCGTTTACGTGCTACGTTATCCGTCTCTGATTTCGGTACAGCAAGCTTCTCTTTCCATGTTGTATCAGGGTCGTGAGCCTGACGTGATCCGGGCACATTTTTCACGATAATGTCGTATAACGGGGAAATCATGAATTTTACGATGCATACGCCTGAAAAGTATGGTGAAAAAATTTCCACCTTTGCCTCTGGAACCTTAATTCTACTTCCATCCGCCAAGAACAATGTTGTCGTGGTTCCCGTAAGTGCTCCGTCTGGCACGAAGGAACGCCGCACAACCATCGTATTACTTCCTGTGTCCCGTAATACTGAGGCAGTCTTGCCGAATACCGGAGCCCTCTATTACGGCGTCTCTCATAATCATATGGTGGTTTTGGGACGTAAAACCCCACAAATCAATCAAATCAATTAATCAGTCTTGCCGAATATCACGCCCTGCAACACGGACATCTGATGCTTCGTCACCCTTGGTTCGGTATACACTGCACTAGCCATACTCTCTTCGCTTTTTCGCCCTCCACCTGCTCGACTTCGTTAAGGTTCTCCCTTTGCGACCATATACATGAGGCTTTCCGGGTAGTGCTGGGTATCTTGGTGCACGCTTGGGTGTCGTGCCCAGTTTTACGACAATACCCACAGTATGATTGCTTTGTCCGAGCGCGGCATTCTGCAGCTCTGTGACCGGTCTTGTCACACGCAAAACATAGAGTGGAAGCCTTTGAAGTTGAATTACCGCCTTTTCCTGCAGGAGTGTCCTCCCCTTTGTCACGGAAAACAAGCAGGTTTGACTGTCGCTGATCTTCTAAGAAATTGTCGGCCGCTTCCGCCATCTCTTCAAGCTTACGGCAGTTTTTCTCTCGCAAAAATAGCGCCACCTTATCATGACAGTTGTTTATAAATTGCTCCGCTACTATGAGATCCCGAACTGATGAGTATTCCTTTTCCGTTTTCGACGTCTCAACCCATCTGTCGAAGAAGCTTGTTAGCCTCGTTGTGTACTGCACGCCCGTTTCACCATCTTGTGGCTTGCTGTGTCGGAATTTTTCACGGTAGCCCTCCGCCGTGAAACGAAATCGTTGCAGTAGCGCCAACTTGGTTTTGTCATAATCGAGAGCCTCTTCTCGCGACAGACGACCAAAGACCTTCAGAGCCTCCCCGCTCAAACACAAACTTAGGGCCGTGGCCCACTTGTCTTTTGGCCATTCTTGACCGGTAGCAACATTCTCAAACCTTTTTAGGTATGCGTCTAAGTCGTCCCGGTTCTCGTTAAACCCTGGCATGAAATTGTGAGGATTAATGGTAGGAGATGCTCGAACTGGTTGGCCTTGGTCAGCCACCACTGACTCTCTAACGCCTTCAGCCTGAGCGAGTTGAAGACGCAACTGTATAGTCTTCTGGTATTCCTCCTGAAGTCGCCGTTCTAACTCCATCTGCTCCATCTTCTCTTTCCTTGCTTCACGTTCTGCAGCCCTCTCTTCTCGAGCTCGAGACTCCCACTCTTCTACCCAAGCCCTTAACTCAGCTCCCTCTAGCCCCATGCGCAACGCCAGTGCCGTTAAATCCGAACTCATTTTTGATCTGTCTTTTTTTTCTAGCAAAATGTAACCAGGGAACAGTAACTATTAATGCAATGAACGGCTTCGTCCTGTCGCCTTGGATGCCAATGTAACGAGCTGTATAGAGAGACAAAGCTCTAGACGAGACGCTCGTGTTTCTGTACGGAAACCTGCGATGACTCAATCGTCATCGGGCAATAACGAGGCCGTTTATGCAGTCACACAAAAAAATGAATTTACAAAAGACATGAAAGGTCCAATACTAAATGAAGTAAGGGCAAAAATATAACGTGCTTGGAATGCTGGCGTGAGAGTCACAAGGGCATAAAAACAGAAAGAGTTCACCGGAGAGGAAGGCGGTGGTCAAGTCCCGGCGGCAAACTCAACGCTGGGGAGGGACGGCCGACGCTTGGGTAGCCTGGTAAGTCCAATGACAGCCGCGGCCAAGAACGCGTCTCACTGCGGAGCTGGTTGACCTGGAGCACGCATGGGGTTTGCCATGCCTATCTCGAACGCTGGCTGGCGCTCGCTGCCGTAGGTGCCGGACTCGCCTGGCGGAAACGTCCTGGCGACGTTTCGCCCAGGCCAGGCCGAAACTGCAAGGACGGCTGGTATGGCCCCAGGGGGGAGCCTGCTGAGACCTCGAGTCCGCAACCCGACGGGTCACTGCTCCCACGCCCTGGTTCTTCAACCCTGCTTCTTCCTTCCAGCCACGTCTGCCTCTCTCCTTCTTCTTTGCCCCACCACCTGCCCTAATTTTTTTCCTGCGTCGTCTTCTTCGACTGTCTCTGTGGCTCGCACTTCAAAGACAATTCTATCTTCACGATCATGCACGGCCACTTAGTAGGACGCAAGCAGGTCCTGCTGGGCCAGCGGTCATATCCGAACTCTCCCACACCCGTGTCTGAGCTATGCAAAATATCTGGGCAAGAAATTATGGGCTGCTATTCATTAGACTGCTTACCTTTGAGGTGCTTTTTAGTCATTAACGTGTTTCTACAAAACATGTGAATAGGTGAAACAAAGAATTTCGGTGCATCAAAGCGTTCTGGAAAATTGGGTTTTATAATCATATAGCCAACCAGTGCTATTGGGCTAGCTCTTGTGTGTAAATGTTCCATCGGACCGGCTATGTTGCTCAATATGCCGATTACTGTGCTATGCCAACGCAAGAAACCTTCCTTCATTCACGCAGTTCTGCCGTGTCGCCTACGAGCTGATGCAGGCCCGGTACGCGGAAACGGGTGCGGATGCGACGCCCAAGGCAGTGTCGGTGGACATCGAATACTTTTACGCCTACGTGCCTTTCCCCCCTCGACGAACGTTGTACTACAACAAAGGCGTCTTCCACAACGAGCTGGAGTGGACGGCTCCAGGCTTGCCGATAGAATGGACAGATAAGATCATGCCCATATCCGAGGCGAAGAAGAAGATACACGCAGACGGTTTCAACGCTGGTCGTCTCGCTGGCTCTCGTGTGAACCGCATCCTCACGATATTTCCGCGCTTTAAAACAGTGCGGACTTACTCCGTGGTGCCATACGGTGCTTTCAACCACTCGCCCACGTAGTAGTAGATGCGTAGATGGACAGTGCGGTGTGCGGTGTGTTACAATTCCAAAGAAGTATTTTCTGGTCAGTTAGGTTAGCTGCGACTCGATCACGTCGTCAGCTGAGTGCTAGGCCTAAGGGGCAAGGTCATGCCCGTATAGGCGACCGAAACGGGTAGTTGAGATTTCGGCTGTATATCGTGTGGACATGCACAGCTGGTTTCTGTGCTGCTTCGCCAATGCGAGGGTGCCAAAAAACGTACTCCTATTCGGAACCTTGCCATGGTTGACAGTAAAGGTTATTTCATGGTTTAACCATATTGCGTATGCCTGATTGTTAGTGTTGTATGGAACGTGTTCTTCCTCATATCAGAATACAGCTTCACATGGTGACAAAAATGGGAAGCGACTGCAAAAGTGCATTGAGATTTCTTCGTTTTTGATTCCTCTTTGGGTCAGTATCACCGAGTCCATGGCTTTGACTCTTAAAACAGTTTTTTGTTCTTAGACAGGTCTTCTAGCTGATTTGCTTGCAAATGAAGGCAAAGCACCATGTGAAAAGTGCATCCTACAATGACGTAGTGTAATGCAGTGAGACCGGTTCAGGAAACTATCGCATTGCTACAAGCTCGTTTCGTATTATCTTATAATGTGTGGTTGAGAAAACCACTACTGCGTGTGTATTGGTGAACTTATTGTAACGGAAGTCAAGTGTGTTACTATCGACACGATGGCTTTTGGGGGTGTTGTGTCTAGCCCCACAGTATATACATCTCTTTTCGTTACCCAACTTTTTCAAAGAAAAGTTTAGCACATTATGAGGTTGAGCATCCGACTTAAATTTAGTGCAACAGTGTGGACCAGCATCACAATGGCTAGAATGACAGTTGTGCATAAAAGCAATATTCTGTTATCGTGCAAGTGGCAGCCTTTTTTCTTAGGGGGCCGTGTTCTTTTGAAATACGCACTTAATTTTACTTCAATCTACCTCTCAATTACATACCTCTAATGTATGTTTTATTCTTGCGTGAGTATCTTCATTAAATGCTCTCAATGAAACATTTCAAGTGTCTGTGAAGCCTCGTAAACAAATTTTGATGGGGAATCAAGTTTATTTTTTTGTTTCCTGATTTTTTGTCGGGGGTATGAGCAATACGTAGTGTTGTTAAAAATTTGTTACTGTTGATGGCTTAAGGTCTTCGTGAACTGAGTGGAAAATATTTAATTAGTGAACAGAATAATCTGTATTATTTGAAAAGTGCACAAGTGTTCATTACATTCACTGTTTAGTGTTGAAAAACAGTGCAGCATCAGCTACTTCAGTCGAGTGATGTATTTAGTTAAATTGGTCGTTGTTATAATCGAGTGTTATGACGTGTCGGTCATAGTAGAATGTGCTGCGACAATACTGCTAATGTTAAAACAACAGTATGCTGTGAATTTGATGTGCTGCATAGTTCTGCTGAATAAAACTTCTGTAAATAGTAAGTTCTATTCAAATCGTTCGGATGCTGCACTTGCACAGCAAGTGCATGTTGAGGTAATGACACATTCATTTAGACAGTGAGAATAAGAAAAGATGTGTTAAAGGAATAGTTATGTGTAACTACAATGTCTTTTTACACATTGAGCAGTAGCTTGATGGGCTTTAGTCAGGGTGGTTATGACTTGTATGCTAGAAGACGACACATGCGCCACACATTTGTGGAGATCTTCCTAACTGTGCATTGTAAAAAAAAAGTGAGTTGGTACTATCAAATAGGCTGCAGTTGCTGCAGATTCATTATTTACAGGCTCTGCCTAAGGTAGCCTATGTACGTGGGTCTGCTGGAATTTATCATAGAGCGATGCGAGAGACACTGCTCATAAACTTAATGACCTGTGTTGTAAGGAGTCATTAAGTTAAGAAAAAATAGTTTGTGAAAAATTTAGGTGACTGACCCCGTTCTGTGAGTTCGTGCTAAGAATCGGAGGTAGAATGCGTGTATAACTGTGTTCTGGGCTTTAGTTGGTCACACACACTACTATATAGTGTTTCTAGACAGTATTTCAAAGTTCTACGAATTAAAAAGAAGCGAAAGGCAGGGCATAAGCAACAAAATGTGCTGTTTCTATTCTTCGTATGCCCAACGAGCAAGCCCAACCATCCGAAATGGCCACATTTATTCCAATTCATTCTTTCAAAGTAACAGACTACGTGAATTGGTTTCCTTGTGGCATTGTAACTTCTTGCAGTGTTCTCATTTCCCCCTGTACTGTGGCTAAATAATGGAATCAATAAATATTTTATACTGTAGCCAACAATACCGCGCGTCTCGTTCTCGTCTTCTAAATGTCGCAACGCGCATCACATTTGAGCTTTGATACAGGCTTCTGGCGCACACTTCGACAAGGTGCTTCTGCAGCGTGCCTCTTATATGATTATATGCAAGCTGATTGTTACTCGTTATGGATAGCCACTTAGAAGAGTTACCTCACAGTTAGCTCACAGGTTAAATCGCAAGGGTAGGAAAAAAGACATCTACAAATAGACAGCGAACCTTTTCGCCTCCTATTGATGATGAAGATTTTTTAAATGTCACCAGTCAGTGGGGAAAGAATAGTTAGTGGTACTGCCAAAACGAGAGGGCAAGTGTTTATTAACTTACATAACAAGCCGAAGTTGATAGGTGAGCCGACAAGCCTATATAAATCTAAAAAAAGGTGATGGGGTCGAATATTTATTCAAAAATGCCTCAGAGGCCCATTAAAGGGCATTGGGTAAAGGGGGCATCTGTAAATACAGTGCAAATCAAAATAGATAGAAGGAAAAAAGAATGAGGGAACAAGCAAAAAACAAACAGTTAAAAATTATTAAGGTGAAGAAGCAATATAAAAACACAACAAAACCAGGTTGTCACGAAAAGATTCACGGTTGGCGATGGATACAATGTGATTTTGGAGGCTGTTCCAATCTGCTATGGCTCGAGGTCATGGAAAGAAGTTAAATGCCAGTGTGTGACCATGAATGCGAATGAAACTACGTGCGTTGTGAATGCGTCCAGATCTGCGCAAAGGAACACGAAGTGACAAACAAAGGCATTTGTTACTGTAGATGTACCCGTGAAATAAACATAAAAGGGCAACATATTACAACATAAATATACCATATGTGTTTTGGTATATATCTGCCATCATCTAATACATTGCAATCTGCCAGTTGCGACACATAGGTTTCCGACAAATCACAGAAGCCTGATTTGTGGCAACCCGTAACACTCTGGGTATGATTCTGATCTCCGAATGACAAAAAAGCAAACCCTGTATTTCCAACTTCAAGGTGAAAAATATTTGGGAGGTGTTTGTTTAGTGCTTCTACACATGTTCTATTTGATTTCACTTCATATATTGAATGCACGTTGAAATGTGCGAACACGTGCATCTAATGGTAAATCCAGGAGCAACTTTGGGCAGTTTGTGTGAAAAAAATATCAACGAAGACAAGTGAAAACGGGAGCAGAATTTCGGTAGTGTGTATCAGCAACTTGCTCAATGCTAATTTTTTACAGGAGCAAGACTTGAACGGGAATTTCAAGTCTGGCAGCATTTTTTCATTGTGCAGAAAACTACTGCATTTTTTGTCTTCATTTTTACACTGTTTGCAACAAAAACTTATTCACATTCAGATATACTGTGATGTGCCTTCTTGAAAAGTTATTACCATGTTGTCTTGGAAGGGCCTTACACGCGGAAAAACATGTTCATTATTCCCATTCTTTAAGACTTGGCAGGTTTTTTATATTTCAAAATGCAGCCTCATGTATTCTATCTCCTGTTGCTGTTTAATTGCATATATTTATGTTGCACCTGCAGCTTTGACTATTTTTATCTATTAATTCAGTCCAAGGTGTCTACTGTGACTTGCATGTTATGGCTTTTGTGCGCCACATATTTTGTAAATAAAGCAATGCTACTGATTTTGTTTCACAAGTTTTGGCAGAGTGTTATATTTCTAAATACCGGCAATAGTTGTTGAATAATAGGACATTGTGGATTTGATGCGGATTTAGGAGGCACATACAAAGGGGTTATATTAGAACTTGGCACAGACAAGCGCTTTACTTTGTCCTCTTCACGTGTATGGATGTCATATTATGCATCAACATGTGCCTATACATACCCTCCCGTTATTATTGAACGCAAGGAGCATGTGTCGGAGGGGGAGGGGGCAAGATGGTATGGCCTAATGTAAACTTGAACTGTGCTTGAAAGGAGACACTACAGTACGAGCAGGCATGGCAAATGCACAATGAACTATTTTTTTTATTAAAACCTGGGTATAACGTCCCGAAACCACGTCATGATTATGAGAGATTCTGCAAAGGAGGGCCCCGAAAATTTCGACCACCTGGTTTCTTTAACGTGATCCTAAATCTAAATACACGGGCCTCAAAGATTTTCGCCTCCATCGAAAGTGCAGCTGCTGCAGCCGGGATTTGCTCCCGCGACCTTCGAGTTAGTAGACTCGTGTTCTCTTGGCCTTCCGTTCCTCGCCCTCCGTTAACCTTTCTTCTAGCACTTTCGTGCTTGTGCTGCAACCCTTAGTACTATGTATTTCACCAACTAGCCGTTTTCCTTCAATGTATTTTAGTGTATTTGTATTTTTACATAACCACTGTACCATCGAGGTCGAGCAACAACTGATTTACTGAATTTGCACGAAGTTGCCTCCTGAAAATCGGCGTGCGCAATAGCTGTCACGACCACGTCACTATAGCACACTCCCCAAGCAATACACTCGTGTAACAGAGAAATACAAACTCTTTTTCTGAAGACAAACACAGATATTTTGCCCACACACATATTTATATCAACCATGTCACGCTTTGTCAGGATTTTATGACATCTGAAGATTTCATGTGCCCTTTGACTTTTTTGTGGTCCTTACACATTCGTGCTATTGAAAAAGTGCCGACATATCCAAGAAGTGAATGATGAGGAGTGGGCGAAGCTCCGGAGGTAAACCTGGTAAACCATGAATTCTCCGTACTTTTAGCCCACTCGATTTTATTACAACGCTCCACCTAGCATACGTCGCCGCACTAAATCAAACGATTGCCTTCCACCAATGACACGTGCCCTATTTGACATCATTCCTATTTTATAACATCTCGCATCTTTCATCTCCAACTACAAGTACCGCCATCTAGTTTATAGCATCTTGCATCTTTTCATGGATGGATGGATGGATGGATGGATATGGCTGTACCCTTTAGATCGGGCGGTGGCTAGCGCCACCAAGCCGTAATACTTAATGAACCCAAAACTATATTTATTTTTTTCCTTAAAAAGTGAGTTTACACATTATCAGCTACAAGTACCGCCATCCAGTGAACATTGCAAGAACTAAACGAAAGGTGGCTACATACAGGGAACAGAACCGCCATCTACTGAACACTGCAAGAACTAAACGAGAGGTAGCTACATACAGGGGACGCGAAGCCCACGCCTTAAGGAGCTTTGCCTCTAAAGTGAGCTTGCACTTTTAACAAGTGTCATACAATGAACTGGCAACTGATATTCAATGTCAACTCCCAGTGAGTGGGTGTGTTTCATTAAACGATTATAGATACGTGTCTAGGTCTGTCGCACATACAGCATACCGCAGGTCAGGCAACATCCGCAGACAACTTCCCATTTTAAAGGTACATGCACGTGTCCGCGTTGTTACCCCATATGGTTGTTTTGTTTACCCATATAGAAGTGGTCCACAGAGGCTACAACTCGCGCGGCGCCGCGAAAACGACGTCATCCCGCATAATACGAACCGACGTAAACCACAATAATACGAAACTTTCGCAGATGGCAAGTAGGTGGCTGGCTTTCGCGCTTACGTCGATTGATTCTGCGTAATAGTCATCCTTTATTTGTGAAAGAATAATACCCTTTGACGAATATTCACTACTACATGCTGAGGCGCTCGTATTTACGGTAAATTGGTATGTCATTAGCAATAATAAAACAGGTACGACGAAATAAGCTGAATAAGCAATTGTACCAGTTGTCTTCTGATTACTTAATTATTTCAGTTACTTCACTGAATCTACCTTTTACATCACTAGGATCAGGTGTATTGCCACTAGCTTAATATTGTTTCATTTTCTTCTAATACATCTTTTGCGATTTCATAACGAAAGGTTCACACTCACCAAACTCGAACACAATAACAAGGCCATAGAGGTTCTGTGGCTTGCGCACTAAGGCACAGTGAAAAACGGTTGTTTTCAAAGTCTCGCATCATGATACCTAAAACGGCAGCAAGGCATTGAACAATTGTCTTCAATGTCTCCCGCAATCTGTGAGGCCTACAACACGCCCACTTTCCATGAGAGACGTTCGACGCATCCGTTTAAAGGTAAGCCGTTCCTATGACGACCCCAGACCTCATGCCGTACCTGCTTGCGCGCGTGCTAGAAAGTCGACCAACCTTCAGCCCGTGAGGTCACCAAGCCATCAACCAGCTGGTTATTCCGAAAAAGCTGCTAGGCTAGCAAGCCCACAGCAAGTACTGAAGATGCTCTTTCATCCACCGATCCACGACGCCAAACTGGCTCCGGGTTCTCCAGTTCATAAATTGGTGGTGCCCAAAAGGCGTTCGAGCTCATCCCACGTCCAAGAAATGGAGCATCCGACCGGTCAGTCACCCGTGAACCCAGGATTAGCTGCAAGGGTCTCAGCTCACTCGCCGATGATGGTACCTGAAGGCTATTGCAGGCCGCCACACAACCAACTGCACGTTGGCCCTAGGGGAGGCTGGAAGGAGTGCATAAACCAGCCACCAATGGGTCTCGCGCAGGGGTACAGGATGCTGGACATTCTCGAACACACAAGCCGGCTTTTCGATGCCTCCAGCCAATCAACCGATGATGAACGTCAAGCCATACATTAATCTACAGGTACACGGCCAATAATCGATGATGACTTCTTCGAAGCTTTCAAAATATACAGATAGCGGTGAGCCGCAAGGACACTCAGTAACAAAAGTGATGGCACGCCGACACCCCAATACCACTGTTTTTAACGTGCTCTCAGTAGTTTCTGCTGTACAGCAAGTTCAAAAGCATTGAATGCTGCATGTAATGACACATTCAAGGCTCTTGTGCCATCTTCATACGCGACTTACCGGTCAGGCGCTGTACAATGCTTCCGGAACACTGGTGCTCGAAATAGTGGTTAACGAGGGTATTCCAGCCCGCATTCTCTGGACAGAGCACCATGATCGTGCTTACTGTGCTCTTCACGTTGTGTTGTGCCGGCAACTAGGTGCCATCGACTACTAGTCTAGAAGATGTCGCTTTGCAGGTGTTTTGGGAACAGCGTTTTGAAAATCATGGTCAGTGTTAACTCAACAAGTTTTGTTGAGCGTTATTAGCCAAGAGATATTTAGATGAGCACGAGGTGTGATGAGTGGTCCATGCTGGTCAACATCCTCTTTGGATCATTGTGCACCGGTTTGAATGAAGTCATCGCTGTCCAGAAGGCAGAAAGGAATCAACCTTGGTTTTACAGCCGACGCAGTTGATGTATAGCAATCGCATATTATGAATATACCGGATACATTGCTTATATAAATGCGGTATACAAAAAGTGCATTATCATCATTGTGACACCAATGAATGTACATAAATAGTTAATAGGAAGAGGTTCCTTCGATATTGCCAGCTTTCACATTTCAAGAAGTTGTGATATTACAAAAGCGATTTTCCGCCGTGGCGGCCCGCCGCTGCCACTGGTGTCCGTACTAGGTATCGCACTAAATGAAAGTGAATATCCAGTGAGGAAAGGTTTTCAAATGGAGGTCCTCTATGTAAGAGCGCAATATCCATCCACGGAATCATGCCAATGATTGAATAGTTTTGCATAAAGACGCTGTATAGGCTTCATGTCGGGAAAGAACGACGTTAAGATATTTAATGCAGCATTGTCGAAGAGTGAAGCAAACAGGCGTCACAGGATGCAAGTGGCGTAACTATACGGTTGTTGAATACTTCCGACCCCTTTCAAAAGCCTCAGCCATAATTCTTCATTGTTATGAGCTACGGCAGCATCAAATTGAGCATAACCACTTCCGATTGTGTCTCAGGTCTCATTTGCGTTCGTGGTGGTCCCCGAGATAGATAAAAATATATGAGTTTAGGAGTCACCGGAACGCATCATATATTGTGTGGCAGAAGCGTAGAATTGAACCAGGCGTCAAAATATGTGAATAGAGCGAGAAGCGCTTGTTTACAAGGCCAACCCCTCACAAAGTGCCCAGAGATATTGATCATCGTCCACAGTAGAACCTTCAACAAGACGAACAGCTGCATCGGCTCTCGTGTTGTCCTTCTTACACGTAGTGGGTCTTTCGCTGGTTCGCTTATGTCGTCGTGGCCTGCATACGAGTGGAAATGGTGACTCCGGGTTGAGTAAAAAGTAAGGAAGGTGACGGGTACGAGCAAGGTGCGTCCGTTTATTGGGGCCTCCTTGAAGGCCTCGCGCGGTGGTCTTGTTCAGTATTGGAGGAATTTCACCTTTGATAATTATTTCACGTTGCATATTGCTGAGACGACCGTATCAGTGGCACTATTACATTCGTCTTGTGGCTAAGAGCACAGCCCCCTGTAAGCCTCCTTGCCTAATGGGGACTTGCTGCCTGAACCTTTTTTTTTTTGCTGTGGAGCTAACAGGATTCTTGTAGTGTGGGTTGCTGCTGGGAGATTTATGAGTCTTAACAACCAGAAGGCTATCCAGGTGAAGCTTCAGGCCATAGCATCACACCCTCAATTAATGAGCGTCGTTTGCCATCTTTAAAGGGGTGATTTTGGTGAGTTCGTTTATTCCGTCTCATTGAGCAAGTGTTAAGGACATTGTTAGAGGAGTTGTCTTTCCACTAACACCAACTCAGAGCCTGAGGAAGGTGCCTGATGCTGGATTCATAGCTGTATAGCGGTGCAACCACGTAGTTAGTGGTGAGAAAGTTCCCATTTATTCGGTTACTTCTACCACTGCTGGCACTTTTTAACTATCAGAGTTGAAATTAGGGCCAGTCATTTTCAAAGTAGAACGTCTCACCTCTTATCTAAGTTAGTGCCGAAACTCCTGGAATTTCGGCCGCAGTGTAGACCGCTGTATATCAAATTCATGCAACCACGTTTGTAGCGATGATTATTTGTCTAATGAATGAACTAACGAAACTAAAAAGTCCCGCGTTTTTGTCTGAAACGATCTGACTGAATTTTCTCGAAATACCCGATGAAATCGAGTGCCTTAAAATAATGTACTTACGACAATACACGTGGCGAGAAGCTATAACTGTTGTTATGGTTAGGGCCTTTGGTTATAGCTGGTGCCAGTGAAAGGCACGATCAATTATAGCTGACACGTATAGATTGAATCTTATTGAAACAAGAGTAGAGAAAGCGATATCAAAGGTGATGGAACAGATAGTTAGGAGAGTGAGTGAATAATAACGCAAGCGTTCTGCCGCAAACGACCAAGCTATTTTCAGCCCTGCCATGGGGGTCTAGTGGCTAAGGTACTCGGCTGCACACCCGCAGGTCGCGGGATTGAATGCCGGCTGCGGCGGCTGCATTTCCGATGGAGGCGGAAATGTTGTAGGCCCGTGTGCTCAGATTTGGGTGCACCTTAAAGAACTCCAGGTGGTCAAAATTTCCGAAGCCGTCCACTACGGCGTCTCTCATTATCGTATGGTGGTTTGGGGACGTTAAACTCCACATATCTATCTGTCCAGCTATTATCGACAGCGGCAGTACCGATGTCCAACCTGACACCTTGCGCACTGGGACAGATGTCTAACTCAGCTCACAGCAAAAAAAAAAAGTAAAGAAAAAAGAAACGAGGAGAAGAAATGCCCATTTTATGTGAACCTTTCATCTAAACTCATGAAGATGTCCACGATGAAAGGAACGTAAGCCCAAATGTCAGGCGTCAGAAGCGAACTGTGTTTCCAGTAAAGTTTCCTCGTCTAGGTTACAAGACCTAGAAATGAAAGTCTACTTCCAGTTCAGTTATTAAAAATATTCTGGGAACGGTAATTCCTGAAGTGATTTGTTCATCAACATCGATAACTTCAAAGTATTACAGCGGAATTGTCGTCCTTTGATTTCTGCTTCAACAGATTTAGTTTAGTTGGTAATCGACTAAATCACAAGATATCATTATGGCAGGAATCCTGGCTTGCTCCTGCCGAGAATTATCATCCTAACATTTTTTGAGCATTTCTGTGAGATCGTCCATCACTAAGAGAAGAATAAAGATGCAAACGAGGAACGTTTTGCGACATAGCATATATTTTTACCTGATTTCTTCAGATTGTAAAATTTTGGTAATAGATCTTAGTATAAAATAGCACCAAGTCTTTTTCTAATTTTAAATGCATATCTTTTTTGTCTTACGGGTGCACACAATACACAACAATTAGATGCTTTTCTAGCCAGTTGCAACGATGAATTCCTTCTTATGGGTGTCTTCAAAACCCATCGTGTTTCATTGGGATTTCAAACAAACTCTTCCATTGCTCTTCAGTGGGAGAAAACCATATATGAAAAATTTAGCAGCCAACATGTGTTTACGGTCGGCCACGATCAGTGTAAGATGTTACATTTCGTAGCATAGGTGTTTTAGTGAAGTCTTGGAGAATAGTTGATTTCGCTTCAAATGGGGACCATTTTCCTGTGCATTTTGAAATTGCATGTTTCTCAAAAAATCGAACAGAGAAAACATTTCTTGATTATAAGTATGCAGCATTCCTGTTTGTGAAAGGTGGCCGGTAGTTGCCATCACACAATTTCGAATCGCGTTACCTGCCTGAACTTTTATTTGCATAGATTAGAGTTAGTGAACTCACCTTTGAGCTTTTTTTTTGTAATCAGGAGAAAAAGAATGGTCGTTTTTTGATATCATCTCACTGATTCAATGCATTAGGCAAGAACGTTACTGTAAGACCTCTTCGAAAACTGAGCCCACAATTGTCTGAACCAGTGCTGCTTTATTTTGGGGCCACTGTTATGCGGTACAACCACCAACGTATTTATTTTTTGCCATCAAGCTATATTTAACTGCGACTAAAGAAACCCTTCCTTAATTCTGTGCGCATGACATTCACTCAATAACTAACTAGTGCACCCAGGAATCACACAATGCAAAAATTATGGAAGTATATTTGACCATGTACTCGGCCAATGCCCTCTACTGGAAGTGTGCCATGCGCGAAGCTAAGGGAGAACTGTGCTTACAGTTGGCACTCAATGACATTTTGAAACGGCCAATGTTACGCACGCAGTATTTCTCTCTTTTTACGACATGGTTGAGCCATGCACCGAAAACCGAAGCAGACTTGCAGTTCAGAAGGCGATGCGGACGAGTCCCGACTATGCTGTTGTGATCTGCTGTTGAAGGCAAAGCTCGAGAGTCCTCCGATTTTCATTAACTCCTCTTTGATGTCTTTTTCACATTCGGCCATAGGAGGAGTCATGCTTTCCATGATGAAGAATCGACTGTCAGCCAGGACCGTAAGTGCCGTGATCATGATGACGTGCCTTTGTCTCGGCTTGGTCATGAGTACCTGGTACCCGTCCCGTACGTTCCGCCACAAGGTGCGTTTTATGCTGGACTGCTCATATGTCAATCGTGCAGAACAGAAAATGTGGCTCTGTACGCTGTACCGTTGTTTTCTTCGCTCACTCTCCGCACAATGTCAGTGCGCTTGTGTCTGGGGCGCAAGCGGGGTACCTCGCACGCCTCGGCTAAGGTATGGCCAGACGCCAGCTCTCCGTGGCTTCGTTTACGGGATCTTCCTACAGCTTCCTAGAGGCAACCTAGGATTTAAACAAGTGGCGCGTGGTGGCGAGAGCGAATAGAGCAACTTCTGTTCGAAGGTACCAGCTATTCCGGCTTATTCAGTGTAGCGAGATGGCGTGAGGGTGCATGGGCTAAAACGCGCCACAATCCCAATAAATCTCGGGCGTGGTTTGCGAACTTGCTCTCATTTGTAGTGTTCGGCTAGGGTGAGTCTATGGACATATTGTAAAAGAGTTCGAGAGCATCCACGCAGGTACAAATCGCTGAGAGCAAGAGAGAAGATGAGAAAATTATGATGAGAAAAACTGCCAGAACGCCCGTCTAAACTGTAAAAAGAATGCTCTCGAGATCAGGTACAACTCTGTGAGGGGCACTCAAGTTAACGATGAACGCATTGGCCAAAAAGATGTTGAGGTGCACATACAGGGCTCACCTTCCTTTTTTTATGTGTGTGTACCGCAACGTAATAAATAGTGTATGGAAATCGCTTACTTTGGCCTGTAGGCTATAATCACTGAACTGATAGATCAGTAAGACTCCGTGCAATGTAACTTTTGTCTGCGCTGTAACCACTTGGTGATCAAATAATGAGACTTCATTCTTCGTATATGTTCAAACAGTGATCTACACTCTACCTTGAGAAAGTCAAGGGAAGGGGTAGAATGCTGTTATCCATTTTCTTCGACAATCTGTGCATATCTGACTATAAATATTTTGGGGCAGTACACGTTCGACTTTGATTATCCCCGCCCCATGCCTCTAGATTCATCAACGTCAATTATGTAAAGGGGGTTTATTGAAGGACTGAGCAAGCGGGTGGTAGCTCTAAAGGAACGCAGGCGGACCCAGATGACGGTGCTTGATCGCCGATCTCGTGCCTTTTTCTTGTGTTGATGATAGCTGAACTTATGGTATCAACGTCTTTCTTATTCACTACAATTACCCCCGGGGAAAAAGTTGAAGCCATCCTGGCAATCTAACACGGGGGGCAAGCGGGTCAAAGTAGGGCTTCAGACGGTTTACGTGAACGATATCACGTCCACACCGACGACGGTCGCTCGGTGGCGTGAGGGGTTCCATGGCGTAGTTCACGGGTGAAGTACGCTCGACCACGCGGTAGGGACCATGATAATTAGAGAGTAGCTTGGGTGATACAGCAGGGGCGCAGGGCGGTAAATGAAGCCATACAAGTGCTCCAGGAACGAACGTTGGTGCAGAACGATGGTCGTCGTCACGGGTCTCCCTCTGGCGCTGTTGGTCGGATGTAGTAAGCCGCTTGGCTAGCTTGCGGCACTCTTCTGCGTAACGAGCGGCTTCCGAGACAGGCTTGCATTCGGAGGGATCTGGCGAGTATGGCAGTAAAGTGTCGATGGTGTGCGATGGTTGGCGACCATACAGGAGAAAAAATGGGGAAAACCCGGTAGTGACTTGCGTAGCGGTGTTATACGCGTATGTCACAAATGGGAGAACGAGGTCCCAGTTTGTTTGATCAGAAGCGACATGCGTAGCGAGCATGTCCCCCAGAGTACGATTAAACCGCTCAGTCAAGCCGTTTGTCTGGGGGTGGTAGGCTGTACTCTTCCGGTGTACAATATGGCACTGTTGAAGAAGTGCTTGGATTACATCGGAGAGGAAAACACGTCCTCGGTCACTGAGGAGTTCTCGAGGAGGACCATGACGAAGCACAAAACGATTGAGTATGAAAGTTGCGACGTCTTGTGCTGCAGCTGTGGGGAGAGCAGCAGTTTCAGCGTACCGTGTTAGATGATCCACTGCCACGATAGCCCATCGGTTGCCTGCCGTTGTTAATGGCAGTGGTCCGTAGAGGTCAATTCCTACACGGTCGAATAGGCGGCCTGGGCATGGAAGTGGCTGCAATGAACCTGTTGCAGGATGTGGTGGGCTTTTCCGCCGTTGACATTCGTGGCAGCCGCGAATGAACTGGCGGACGAAGGTAAACATCCTGCGCCAGTAGTACCTTTTTCGTAGGCACTTGTAGGTCTTGAAAACACCGGCGTGAGCACATTAGGGGTCGGAATGAAACGACGTGCAGATGGTAGAGCGCAGCGTTCGGGGAATGACTAGTAGCCATTTCCTACCATCTGCTGAATAGCTGCGCCGGTACAAAGGCCATCCCGAATACTGAAGTGCGGAGCCTGGCGGCGCAGGGTTCGAGTGGTTGGAAGTGTCGGTGCCTGGGATAACGCGTCAAGAAGCGAAGCGATCCATGGCTCATTGCGTTGTGCGGAAGAGATGGTGTCCTCGTCAAGAGCTGACAACGTGTTGTCCGAGGAAACAGATCCAATGTCCGGGGATAGGGGAGATCGTGAAAGTGCATCAGCATCGGTATGCTTGTGGCCGGAACGATATACAACGCGAATGTCATATTCTTGAAGCCGAAGAGCCCAACGGGCAAGACGACCCGATGGGTTTTTAAGCGAAGATAACCAGCATAATGCGTGGTGGTCCGTTACTACACCAAAAGCACGGCCATAAAGGTATGGGCGGAACTTGACAAGCGCCCAAACGATCCCCAAGCATTCCTTCTCGGTGACGCTGTAGTTTGATTCAGCCTTGGTGAGAGTTCTGCTGGCGTAGGCGACAACATACTCGGCGAATGCAGGCTTGCGTTGCGCGAGAACCGCACCGAGGCCGACACCACTGGCGTCGGTGTGGACCTCAGTTGCTGCCGTAGGATCGTAGTGACGCAGTATTGGTGGCGAAGTGAGGAGACGACGAAGAGTACAGAAGGCTTGGTCACACTCAGAAGACCATGACGAAATATCAGTGGTGCTGCCTATAAGTTCGGTCAAAGGCGCAATGATAGAGGCGAAGTTGCGCACGAACCGGCGAAAGTAGGAGCATAACCCCACGAAGCTCCGTAACTGCTTCATAGTCGTTGGTTTGGGGAAGTCGGCGACAGCACGTAACTTAGCCGGGTCTGGAAGTATACCGTCCTTTGATAAGACGTGCCCGAGAATCGTAAGTTGCCGAGCAGCAGAGTGATACTTCTTGAGGTTGAGTTGGAGCTGAGCATTCTTCAGGCTCGTGAGGACGTGTTTGAGGCACTCGAGATGTGTTCCAAAGTCTGGCGCAAAGACGACAATATCGTCGAGATAGCAGAGACAGATTTGCCATTTCTGACCCCGAAGAACTGAGTCCATCATGCGCTCGAAGGTGGCAGGTGCATTGCAGAGGCCGAAGGGCATGACATTAAACTCATATAGACCGTCCGGTTTCACGAAGGCTGTTTTTGGTCGATCGGCATCTGCAAGGGGGACCTGCCAGTACCCTGAGCGCAAATCTAACGATGAAAAAAACTCGGCACCTTGTAAAGTACCAAGGGCATCGTCAATCCTGGGTAAAAGATACACGTCTTTTCGAGTGATCTTATTAAGGCGCCGGTAATACATGCAGAAGCGAAAGGAACCATCCTTTTTTTAACGAGCGCTACAGGTGAGGCCCATGGACTTTGTGAAGGTTGAATGACGCCGCGTTGCAGCGTATCGTTCACCTCTTCGGTAATAACTTGGCGTTCCGCCGCAGAAACACGATATGGTCTCTGTCGTAGTGGCGCATGGGAGCCGGTATCGATGTAATGTAGAGTGGTAGAAGTGCGGCCAAGTGAAGGTTGAACAACATCGAAAGATTCGCGGTACTGGTACAGCAGTTTGATGAGTTCAGATCGTTCAGGTGGTGACAGTCCGTCTGCAATCGCCGAATCGAACACTTTCGAAGCCTGTAGATCGGAGTGGTTAAGAGCACTGACGGCGGCGAGGTCACTTTGGGATGATTCTTGCGGCACGGTAAAAATTTGTCCGTTATCAATGGGCTGTACGCATCCAAGAGACTCGCCTTTAAACAGTTTGATGGTATGCGGAAAGAGATTGGTAAGGCAGAGAGCACTGGCTCCATTAGACAGTGAGAGGGCTGAATGAGGGAGCAGAAGTGGTTTCCGACTTAGAAAGAGGCTTGATGGCTCAAAAAATGCTAATTCATCACGCATGCCATCGCAGACCACAAGAAGCAAAACAGCTGTTGTCGGTGGAATGTCAGTGTCCTCTTTGACAACTAGCTTGTGCGCGGCTTGATTAGTGTGGTCGTAGGGCTGGTCGAACAACGGAAGCAGTTCGACTTCGGAACGGGCACAATCTATAACGGCACGATTACGCGATAGGAAATCCCAGCCAAGTATGATGTCATGAGAGCATGAGGAAAGGACGATAAACTCATCAATGTAGTGGTCCTCCGCAATTGTGAGTCGGGCAGTGCAGGCGGCTATAGGTCGAACAGGTTCTCCATTTGCTGCACGTAAGGACATCATATCAAGCGGCGTGGTCACCTTTCGGAGCTTGCGGCAAAGTTTGGCGTCTATAACAGACACAGCGGCACCGGCATCCACAAGAGCGTATGCATGGGCGCCGTCTACATAAACTTCGACGATATTTGACGGCAAGGTGCGAGGACTTGAACATTTCGATAGCGCAGTTCTTGCCCCTTGAACTGCCACGGCTAGTTTCCCTCATTTTGAGGGGCTGAAAGTGGACGCATGGGTGACAAGGAGCGTCGATTGGGTGAAGGTGAGCGACGAGATGAAGTTGACGGATAGTCACGGGAAGATGTGTTTCACTGACAATCCGAACTTTCATAACCAAAAGGGGGTCCGTCCATGTAGTTGCTTCGTGGTCGGACATATGTGTAGGCGGTCACGCGACGACGGTAGTATCGGGAGATATGGCCAGGGCCGCTGCACGCAAAACAGATCGGCCGGTTATCGCGCGTTCGCCAGGCATTT